ATTTCCTTTGCCTTCATAAGTGAATTATCATAAGTTAATTATTATACTACTTGTGCAATTATTATGTTCATAACTAATAATTATCTGTCCATTTCTGTTACTGTTACTATATTTGTAGTATTTTCAGAAGGAACAGATCGTAAGTTGTGTTTGCTTAGTAGCAGTATTGGTTCATCATCGTCTTCCAACACGTCTCCTTCAGGCTCGCCGTCACGTGGTTCGTGCGCTGAACGTGTCCATGTTGATCAAAGCACGCAACCGTTACAACCTGCCCTGAAACAAACTACCATAAAAAAGGTATTTTCTCGAATGGAAAAATGTAATTTATTTCTTCAGTAGAATAAATAATGGGAGGTAGTAGATAGTGCTACAAATCTTGTATTCCTCATATTGCGGCTTATCGTAATGGCAGTGAATGGTATTACATTAATTTTGTTGTATTGAACTTTTTATGTCCTAAAATTTATGCCAAGACTGGAAATTAGATATTACCAGTTTTTTTTATTATTTTTTTTTTTCTTTTGTTTTGTTATATCTTCAAAAAAAAAAAAAAAAAAATGTTAAATTTTAGAATTTATGTCGAAGTCAGCGATCAATGTCTCTTGGAAGTGCTGCCCATGAATCACTTCTGGTAGCTGTAGCTTCATCTTCACAGGGTCCTAAGCATACCGTTGACATGAGTCATGCAGAAAATGGTAATTTTATGCTTAATAGAAATTCATTAAGAGAAAAATTTCCAAATGAAATAATAAGAGTATGGATTTGAAGATTGCCCAATTATGTATAACGTAGTGTTGAATTCAGGTGACAAAGTGGTATTGCTTGTTGAAAATACAAGATTTGTGGTTGATCCGGCTGTGCTGGTTGCTAAACCGGATACTATGCTTGGACGAATGTTTACTGTACGTGCACAACGTCAAGATGGTGTTGAACTTGTGCGACCCAATGATCAAAACGAATATGAAGTAGCTGATGGGCTTTCTGCTTCCTGCTTTCGTGCAATTCTAGTTGGTTTTGTAATGTAATGGATTTCTTTTTTGTGATCGAATGTTGGTCTATATATCAGTTTTTGCTAAATTTTTTTTTTTTCTCCCTCTCTCTTTCTCACTTCCTGTCCTTAGTAATTGAATTAAAAATTTTCAGGAATACTACCACATTGGAAAAATGCGATGTCCACCGTCAGTGTCAGTTTCGGAACTCCGTGAAGCTTGTGATTATCTACTGGTACCATTCAATGCTCGCACCGTGCAGTGCCATAATCTCCGTTCATTTTTACATGAATTAAGCAATGAAGGTGCAAGACAGCAATTTACTGCCTTTCTCGAAGAAACTATTCTGCCACAAATGATTGTTAGTACTGAGGTAAATGTTGTCAATTATAAATGAAATTTGATTAAGAAAATACCACTACATTCAACTTTATGTCCAGGCTGGAAGACTTAATTTATTTATGTATTTTATAAATGGAAATGATAGCATCAATTTTGAAACGGAAAATAAATGAAGAATAAATCAATCATTTTAGTATACATTTCCAAAACTCATCCTTTAAAATTATCACTAATAACACTTAATCTGTGAAATTCTTAGTGCTAATCAAGATTTTATTTCATTGTTCAGCATGGAGATCGTGAATGCCACATTGTTGTGCTATTGGATGACGATGTAGTTGACTGGGATGAACTTTATCCTCCACAGATGGGTGAAGATACGACACAAGTTGTTTACAGCACTCATCTTTATCGTTTTTTCAAATATGCCGAAAACCGTGATGTAGCAAAACAAGTAAATTATTGTGCTGAGTGCTCTTTCAACTTTCTTTTGATAAAGTAGAGGTACTTCATATTGCATAAAACAGAAGTCATTGAAACACAGTTGGTTATGCATTAATTTGCATATTTTTAGGTTCTAAAGGAACGTGGCCTTAAAAAGATTCGGCTTGGTATGGAAGGATACCCAACCCACAAAGAGAAGATAAAAAGACGTTTTAATAAAGCCGAAGGTATGTTAAATTTTCCTGTATGATGGTGTCTCGAATTTAATGCATAAAATGTGGAAGGCAGATTTTTATTATTATCAGTATTGAAATAAAAAATATTTATTGTAAGTTTATTTTCAGTTATTTATAATTACGTCCAACGGCCATTTGTTCATTGTTCATGGGAAAAAGAAGAAGCACGTTCACGTCATGTTGATTTCGCATGTCCTATCGTGAAAAGCAAGTCCAATCCAAGTTTGGCAAGTGCTGCAAGTGATCCTATTCCACAAGTGAGTGAAGAGTTTTTTATTCATTTTATAACTGAGAAAATAAGGTAGTAGTTGATTAAATGGAGTTGAATTCAAGTTGCAAACACTCTTCTTACAATAAGTTTATCTTCTAAATTATATACTTAAGGAATTAAGATACTTTTAATTATAATAATAGGACTAGTCATAATCATTTAAAGATATCACTGAGATGTCTTTCAGTTAAATTATATTGAAACGCTTCACTATTCAAAGTGATAAATTGGCTTAGCTTTTTCTGAAACGTAAAATATACTGTTTTTTTTTTTTCAATATCTTAGTGATTTCAAAAGCAGTCTATGAAATTTTTTCTTTAGCCAGCACCTTTGCAACTGAGTGTAGCAACTACTGCATCTGGCACTGGAAATGGGCCATTTAATTTGCCAATTGTGCAGCATCCAATATTTTGTGGTACTAGTGCTACACATTTTGCACATCGTTTAACTGGCCAGGTTTGTTGGCCAGTTTTTTTCAAATAGTTTAAAGGAAAACATTTTCCTTCTTGCTTGACTTTCATTCGCGCATACAGCATATTTATTCATCTTTTATTATTCAAGAAGGGTAGGAACAAAAAGGGAAACATTGTATTTGGCTATACTGCAACTTGTAGCAATGTATATTGAAATATATAAGTGGCACATATTTTATTTTATAGTACATATGCAAGTACAAAGAAGCTATATTTTATTTATCATTAAGTTGAAACTTGTTGATGCTATTTGTTTGCATTACTAATTCTTGATTATTACTTGCAGAATTTACATCCTCTTCACTCACCACCAGTGCAAAATGTTAGGTCAACTTCAGCGACAATGGGGACAGCGACAATGGAAAGTTCTCAAACTTCTTCATCAAGTGGTTCAAATCATACTATGACAAGCTGATGAAAAACGTTATTATGAGCATTTTCTCTTCCTTATTCCTAGTATTTATTGTATCTAATGCTTTCCGATGCTTTGTTTATAGCTGCCTAAATAACTAGTGATGATGCTGAATGATGCTAGATATTATTAACTGCAGATAGGAGAATAGGTAAATTAAAATATATGAAACTAAGGTGGCTTTTTTCTGATCGGTTTATTCATTAGTCTGTATGCTGAATATTCTGCTCTTTGAAATTTAATGCGGGTGCTTAGGTTGTAGCATCCTTTATCATGCAATAATGCATACCGTTAGTCGATAGTTATGAAATACATTATGATCTTAATTACACCTCCTTGAAGTTTTGGTTTTTCCTAATTGTTTTTGATCCTATAAACTTGCGAATCGAATTGATTTTATCGAGTAAAGCTGTCTAAAGAAAATGAGAAAATGAGAGAATTAAATGGATATGTTTTGTGTATTGCAGCTAATCTTAGGTACAATTTGTTATTTACAAATACAACTTATAAATTGTCAGTTTTGATGTGTTGCGGTTTTAATATTATTCGATCGATCAAACTTTGTAGATTTCATTTCTGTTTTCACTCTGTTTGTGAATCACACAGATTTCTTTAAAATTTTCAGTTGACCTGCTTTAATTTTTTTAAAGCTTGCATATTAGTACAGCATTTCTGTAACTTTCTACAGCATAATATCTGTTCACATTCTAATTTTCCCGAAAAAAGTCACAATATTTTTGTCCGTATTCAATCTTTCCTTTTTTTTTTTCAGCAACAAAATAGATGCTAGGAATGAAATAGTGAGGTTGAATTGCTCAGGAGATGAAACTTGAAAAATAGGAGGATGAAAACTGAGAAAACAAATGAAAGCACTGAAAAATGAATAAAAAAGTTAGAAATTTTATCGTTTTAGTCAAAATATATGGAATTTAAACATCATCTTTCAACCAATTCATTTTATTAACAATTTCAAACTTAAATTCCCTTTATTTACAAGCATTAAATTATTGCCTTATGATGATTCTATGCTTTTTCCTTCCCACATTTATCGTCTTTGCATTCTTTCACCTGTATTTTATAATTTAAGCATATGCTTGATTCGTACGACATTTTTGCTATTCATATATATATATATATATATATATATATATATATATACACACACACACACACATGTGTATTACTTTAAGCTTTTGTTTTTGTTTTTTTTTTTCGGTTTTTAAAATCGTTTATTGCTAATCTTTCTCGCTCATTTGTTTTGTAATACAAACAAAACAAACAGTGAAGCGTTTTTTCGTTCTTTTTTACTGCGATTCTATTTGATATTCGAAAAGATTGCAAAACATTTTATGAATTTTCGGGGAAATAAAATGAACATTTATTACTTTGAGTCCATTAATTATTAAAAAAATTCTCTCAAATCCAATCCATTAATTATAATAAAATTGATATTTCTAATTGAATTTCCAGATTTAGCTCTTGTAAATAAACTTTTCTTCAGTTTCGTTTATTCCCAAATATTGCTTACTTTCTCTATTGTATGAATGAGAATTACTTTAATGGGATTTTATTTAGACTGCTTTTGTAACAGATGGGTTTCATATCATTCACAGTAGATGCGAAGCAATGATTGTAATGTCACAGATTTGAGTGGTAATTCGGAAATGAAATGAAAATTTGCAACTAACAAATGTATGACTTACTTTTGCTTATAAATGTTTTTTTTTTTCTTTCCAAGAAAAAAATTTTGGAAAAAAAAAACAAGAACAAATCCATGTCAGCATTAAGCATTCATTTTAAAAAAATAGACGAAAAATTGAAAAAATTCAACTCTCAATGATTCATTCGTGTATGTGCTCCTTGCATGACACGGATGCGCTTTTCGAGACGTTTCTCCCAGTGACAGTCACGATCATATGGCAAATCATCAATAATATAGTGCTCACCATTTGGTAATGGTTGTTTACACGCAGCGCACGTGAAACAACGTGGATGCCAGTGTTTATCAAGTGCAATTAAGCATGAATCGATAAGTATCTCACCACAACCTGCATTAGGAATGTATTTAAATTCTTCCTTGCTTTATTTTTTCTTTTGGAAATTTGAAATTTTTTCATATTTTTTTTCACTTAAATTGTTGAATATTTCTTATTAGCCTAGCAATACCAGTTTATTAAATTTAGCCCAGCAACATAAATTTGCCAAATTGAATTTAACTTGGGAAAAGTCATTTATTGAATTTAACTTAGCTCTAATCGGATGCTAATTTTACAATAATTCCAAGAAATTGAAAAAAGAAAAAGTTGAAAACAAAGAAAAAAAATCTGACATTGCTTCATTTGATTAATTTCATTATTTATAATAAACGGAAGAAAAAAAAAAAGCTGTGCAACTAAAGTTTACAATGATTTTACGAAATTAAAATGAAAATTAGAAAGAAAAATGAAAGGACGAATCATACAATTAAGAATAATTGCATCAGTTAGCATTAAGTGTTAATTTCTTTTCTTTTTGTTTTATTTTTCATTGTTTATTTATTGGTTAGCAAATAACTGAAAATGGTACTGCGAAAAAACAGGAAAATTTTATTTACAAACCGTGACATTTTGGATTATATTTCTTAGAAAAACATTGTACACAATATGGCATTTCATCTGCAATCTAAAATGCTATCATTTTTATATGCTATTAATTAAATTATAAGAAAATAAACGAACTTGGAATTATTAAATTTGGGATGAATTTGTTTAAGCTTATTGTACTGTAAGTCAGTTTACACGTTTGTTATTTCCTACTGAAATAGCGTGAAGTTACTCTGAAATAAAAGTTGTGTTTGCATCAATAGTTGACACTACCAGTTTAAAGTTCAATTATTGATATTCAGCGAAGGGAACGCTTTTGAATTCTAATATTGGGAAAGATTAACAGTTCAATTACTCCATGCAAGGAAAATTGAAATTATGATACCGGGAATGGTTAACCATTCTAGATAATCTACCCTTCTAGTCATGAAATCTAGGTGAGATTAAGCCATCCTAGGTATGACATTAATTCAGCAGAGATGATTACCTGGTAGGTTTGCTTGATTGGTGCATTACAAGCATGGCAGCGGAAGTGATCGGGGTGCCAGAGGCGATTCATTGCAATCACCGCTTCCTCACCTAACGATGTGTTGCAGAGGGCGCACATTCGACGATCGCTTTCGGGCGGTTGGACATATCCCACACCACGGCTTACTGTAGAATCACCCATTCGGCTTATCCTAGTTTAGCTTCAGAAAAATGAGCTAATAGGAAGAAATAACCGGTCGACTCGACTGAGATTCACTCAACTCTTTCGCTATTTTATGACTGTTTTATACATTTGAAAAGTAAAAGGAAATTTCAAACATGCAAATTTATAATTTATTGTCATTTGCTCGAATATTTATTTATTCATCCAATATTTTAGCCTTTTACTTGAAATTATTACTTAAAAGTTTTTTTCGATGCATTATCACAATTAGAATGCATCCATTCATTTTTATTCACATTCACATCTTTCCTTGCAAATACATTTCACGTAATTCAATTCAAGTAATTGATTTCATTTCACCATATCAATCATTTAAAACATGTTGATAAAGTGTGAAATTAAAGTTTATTGTGATAAATGCATTGATTCGTACAATTGATAGAGATATATGCTAATTCGTTGTTAAAATTATATTCATTTCTCGTCCTACAAGAAAACCAAAAAAAAGATTTTTATAAAGGAACCAAAAAAAGGTTTATTAAATTAAAAAATTAAATTAGCCTAAAAAGCAATAATTTCTTGCTTCCTAAATTAAACAGTTAATACGTGTGTAACATTTTCAAACAAATTGGTGTTCATATAGAACACAGCTAAATAATTGAAATGTAAAATAATTATTATTTACTATTGCAATTGATATTAATTTAAAAAATTCGAGCAATAAATTTCCAATTTTTAGGAGAAAAGAATCATTGCCATATTTCAAAAATAATAAAATGAAAAGTTTTAACTGCAATTTTTACTTTATGTCTTCTTGCATATGCATCGTAATCATCAATAAATTCGAGTAAACGTTGTGACATGTCAACGATATTGAGTTCATGAAAGAATTGAAGTAACAAACGATTAAGCACAATGTATTGCTGTAATTTTCATTCATCTGATAAATTATTTCCAATTACTGTCCAAGCAATTTCAATTGTTATATAAATTTCGTATTGTTATGTTACTTTCAAATTATTTCTAATTATAAATTATTTCAATTGCTATATAAGTGATTTTAAATTATTACATCATTATTTATCAATTATTAAACAATTCATTTCCAATTCTTGTCTAAATCATTTCAATTATTTTCTAAATCATTTTGAAATAATTTATTAATCATTTCCAAAAATTTCTCTTGAATTCCAATATCAAAAAGTATGTTGTATTCTATCATATTATTAAAAAGCTTTTCACTAAATATTCATCAAAAAATTAGCTTAGTAAAATTTACTATATTGTTGCTAATAAAATATTTTGATTGGTTATTTTCAATCAAAATCTTTTAGGCAAAAAAGGAATCAACAAATGAATTTATTCTCTTTTCACAAATCATTCACTGCACATATGTGAAACTTTGAAAATTAAATTTTTAATTTAATTAGAAATTATTATGCTAGCATTAAAAATTATATTAAACCGTAGGAGTGCTTATAGCCATAGCACGTTGATTTCGAATTTCCTTCACCACTTCTATCAGATCAACGCAGCTTCTACCTTGCAGCACTCTCTGCAGTGTGTATTCAATGGCCACAAAAATACAACTTCGGCCAATACCTATTTAATTAGTATTTACTTTCTATAAAGTAAACGTTATCATTTAATTTGTATAAACTGTGATTGATTTATTGCAACAAAAAGTACTTTTCTGTGTTTCTTAATTTTAATTGCATTAATTTAATAATTCTCAGAAATACATTTCATCAATATAATATTTGTTTCAAAAGTCTGCTTATTTTCATTTTTTTTTTTGAAATAATTTTAAGAGAAAAATCATAAAAAGATACCATCAGAACAGTGCACAACGATTGGTTTTTTGAAATTTCGAATTGCGCATATCAAATTGAAAACCGTAAGTGACGGATCCGAAAAGCCTCTTTCAGGCCAATTTTTCCAATGATAATGTTTAACTATAAGTTGCGCTTTACCAACTTCAGTGATTGCCAATGTCGTAATTGTTATATCTGCTTCCTCTTTCATTTTCTCCGTCTAAAAAATAGCGTACGTGATTGAAATTTTTAAATTTTGCTTTTATTTAAATTAAATTAACACCGAATAATTGACGTAGAAAGAGAAAAAAATTAATAAAACAGATAATTTTACACCTATAAATGCTTTTATTTAATTTGTATATTAAAATTCAATAATCCATTTGACTACTAATTATGACTAAATTCTTTTAATTAATGTACAATAATGCATTTAATAGTAATAGATCCAAATTTCATTGGTTTCTCTCCGAATGATTGTGGAAAGTACGGTGGACAATTTTTTTCAGTGGTTTCAGTGAATGCGCATAGCATCACGACACATTGCGCTTTTTCTTGCACAATCATTTTATAGAATGATTCTGCAGTTGTTAGCATTGGTCGCTGAAAATGATGGTAAATTTACAAAGTGAGATATTAAGACTTTTCAAATTTGGCATAAATAGTAAAAACTTTTCCGCAAAATTACTTCATCAAATTAATTTAATAATTAAAAGTGGAAATATCAAGCTAATGGCCATAAATCAAATAATAATGATTTAATTAGAAATTTATCATTACAATACTGAAATGGTTGACAGAATGAAAAAATAATCATGAACTGCTGTATTTCCTGTTTTGACGTTTGACGTTTACGTACTTGCGTGCAAATGAAATGTTTAGTGAATTTTGGTGTGTTTATATAATTTGCATGGATGTAATTGTTTGTATCATTTCTTAATAAGACTCGACCCTTATCTTGGCATATTACAGTCTGAAAAGTTAACATTTATACCTTTTATTTGGGTTGATTTTCTTTTTTTCAAATTATTAACATATTGTCAACATTTTCAAGTTAATATATTAACATATTGTCAACATATTCAAGTAAATAATGATTTTATTTTAACAAATATACAAAATATGAAATTGAAAATCAATGTTTTGAATTCCAATTCTACGATAATATTTCAAAAATATATGAAATATTTTCAATGATTATAAGTTACCTTGCTAAAATTTCGCTCCTCATTAGCATCAAATCCTTTTGTTTCCACTTTTTCCACAATTTTATTCATTTTCTCCAATTCCATTTCTAATCCAGCTACTCCTTTATCCAACAATAAATCATTCCATTTGTTTACCTTTATAATCGCAATAGCAGCAAATATTTGGCAAATAGCATATTGTTATTGTAGTTGCTCATTTGTTTATTCAATAACGGATGTATTCAGGAATTTTTTATTAAACTATTAATTTCAACGTAATATTAAACTTGCCACTAATTAAATTTTATTGACATGCCTCCTCTTAAAAAATTTTTCTTGATTTATTTAAAATATGAAAAAACTTTATTTGGACAGTTATTTATTTATTTTTTTGCTTTGTTTTTTGCAATATTACACTGATTATTACATTCTGTTAAAGATGAAATTTTTGCTAACTTATCATCCTATGTACAACAATTGCGATGCGTGAATCAATTAATCAATTGATTAATTAACCGACCAATGATTATCATTTGAAATGTTAATCCTCATTGGAAAGCACTGAAAAAAGATAAGCGACCTGCTTACGTGCTGTTCCATCTTTCAATTCTTTCTTCAATTTTTCCATCTCTTTGCTTACTGTTGATTCATCCAACATACTTAGTTGGGTTCTTTAATTTATTTGATTAAAAATTTGTTTGAATATTTTATGTTATGGTTGTTAGCTAAATTTTCATGTGAATAATTTGAAAAATTAATCTCACCAATCATTATTTTTTCATCTGAAAAAATAAAATAAATTTTCATTCAAATCTTTTTTCATCTTAATTTTTTTTTTCATATACATTTACAATGATTTATTATTGAAATTAGGCAGTAACTAAGAAAAAAGGTGTTTCGCAATAAATTGAGTTACATTTCTAATTTTAGTTAAAGTTTTAATTAAACTCCCATTATTGAAATTCGAATCAAAGCAAACTTTGTTGACGAACTAGAATATTCGTCTTGCTTTTTGCCAAGAATTTTAAAAAACGCTTTTTTTTGCTTTTTTTCTGCTGTTTTCGGTTGATCTTTTTTGCCTTTTATGTTATCTTTCTCATTACTCGTACTCTTCTAAATATTTTTTAAAATTTAATTTAGAAAGTAAATTTGTTAGAATAGAATTTATTCAATGAAAATAAAATATTAACACAAAGCGATAATTAATATATTTCATTGTATCCAACAAATCATTTCAAATTTTGTTCAATTTTTTGAACAAATGAAAGTGGTGAAATATAAAAATACCTGCGTTGTGCTAGATTTTCGATTCCTGAAAACTTTCTCTCCTTAGTTCATCATAAAAAAAAGAAAGAAAAATTGCAGTCAAAAACCTTTATCCGAATTATTTGAAATTTTTTATCATGTTTTATCGTCATATAGCAGATATTTCCCACAAAAATGATAAGATTATTTTCTTTACTAAAATGATTACACTTTATCATCTGAAATGATAGCAATATCTCTATCAGATAATTTTCAAATTCTTCATGCTTTTTTCTTGTCTCCTATCAATTTCTATCAGTATCAGTTTTTGAGAATAATGTACACACTTCATTGCAGCTGTCACTTTTTGCACAATTTTATTCATAATTAATATCGGTGACACACTTCCGTTAGCAAAACCTCAGATAAACGCTGCGGTTGTTTGAAAGAAAATGAATGAACCAATTCGTATAAATTTTATGAAATAAACTGAACGATAATTGCTTGCACATTGATATTTATATCATTTTAAATTGCTGTCCTGTAACGATGTTAAAATTGCTTTAAAAAAATCAAAGCGATCGATCGATATTATCCAACAATAAATCAATATTGCTATTCTTTAACATTATACAATGATAAGTCGTTGAATCAGTGCAAATCGATATTGCTATTTTTCAGTGTTATGTAATGTTAAGTGATTACTTCAGATTCTTTCTGAAGTATTAATGAAAATGCTTTAACACAGTAAAAGCTAACCATCTTTAATTGCAGTTTTTTTCTCATAAAAATTATTTTTGTTCATTTCCCAATGACTTTTCCGGAGCTGTTTGAAGAATTCACCTTCATTAGTCGTGGTGGATAAATTATTGTATGTAAATTTTTCTAGTTAATTAAATTTCATTCAAATAGTTTTGCTCAAATGTAGCAAAAAATGTAGAAGTCAAAAGAAGTTGGCATATTTTTTCACTAGTTAATGCTACTGTTTTTGCATTTACATTCAATTAATATTGCTTAACCAAATTTTATTTTAAATTTACACTTACATTACACATTTCATAGCTTCTAATGCAATCATCTTTATTGGAATTACAAATGTCTAGTTCTCATGTCATGTCAATTTCATTTTCAATTTGATTTTGGTAATAATTAGGTATGAAATTTTGATATGATTCAAGCTTTTTATCTGATATCAATTAATAAATTACTGAACATCACTGCTACTAGAATTACTTAATATCTCGATTATCATCGTTCTTCAAATATCGATCTCTCATTCCGATATAACTAAAATTTAGCATTAAAATTCATTGCTTATTATCTCGGTTATCATTTAACATAGATACGCGAGAGAAAATGTCTAACATTTTCTACCAAAAAACTCTTCTTCACATACACAAATTTCATATTATTCATATTTTAATTTTGGATGTTTCTGCATATATTCCAATATGTTTGTTTATTTTCCGTTCCTATTTTTGGCAAGTCATTTCTATTTTTGTTGCTTGATCAATTTTAATATTTGTTGCTTGATCAATTTTAATACTTCTTTCTATGATATCTTTTTGGTATCATAGAAAAAAACGAACAAAATAAACACTTTGCTTCATCACTATTTGTTTTGATTTTTTAGAAAACTATGTCATTCGGAAATGTATGTTATTCATTTGCATGTTTGCAGTGTTATTAATGAAGTTTTGTTTTTAATAGATAAGAATTGTTTATTTAGCTATGATTTTTGCTTTTAGTTGAATTGCAGCAATTTGAGGTCATCATGTATATTTGGTGAGCTTGTATGATTGTATGATGTTGATATTTGTTAATTTATTGCTGCAACTATAATTATTATTATTGCTACAATTATAATTATTCTTAGGATTGCTAAGATGTTTGATTAACTAGATGTTTGATTAACTTCATTTATAAACAATTCTTTTTTTTTTGGCAACAGCTATAATTAAAATCAAATTTATAAATCATTTTTGTAAATTCTACAAGAGGCGAAGAATGTCAGAAAAAAGACTTATTAATTAATTAATTTTTTTTATGGCGTAATTTTGTATAAATTGATTAACAATTTATTTACATATTTACATTTGTATATTTTGATGAAAAGAATTAGCATCAAATGCATTGGTTTTAAAAAAAGAAGGAAGAAAAATGATAGTATATTGGTGATGTAATTTTAATGAAGTAATTAGAAATCTAAAATGATTAAATTTAGAAAATATCAGGAAGACAATTGCAAGGTGTCAAGAAAACAGTCGAACATTTGATTGGAGGTGGTATTATAGTTTGGAATTTTAACAGGTGATAAATTAGAAACAGCACAAAGTATTGGCTATTCATGTCGTTTAAATTGATCCATTCACACCCATTTTGGTATATTTCGAGTTATTTAATTTTATTTTAATGTTGAATTATTCATTCTGAACAAAAATTGTAAATAAATTTAATAAGTTTAAGTAAATTCAAATTGTAAATAAACTATTGATAAATCAACGGATGAAATTTTTTCACTTACAAATTTATCATATGAAATTAATATTATTATTTAAGCAAAAAAAAAAAGATTAAATTATTATTTAAATATTACAAAGAGCAATTCAATTTGATTATTTAGGTGCTTGGCGAAAAAAGTGCCGAAGAAACAGCTAACAAAATTAACACATTTTTCTTGATAATTTTGCAAATAAAAAAATTAAAATTTCATTAATTGCTAGCGGCGAGGTTTGTTACAATGTAAAAATTATATTTAAGCAATATCTGTAAAAATTGGAACCCCTTCATACTCATGATTTAAAAATGGTTTAAAAACTAGAAGACATTTGGAAGTTCATTTTAAGTGGAATTATTGCATTACTCAATTTATTTAAGAAACTTAATAGAAATTTGAATTAAATCAAAGAAAAATCGTAAAAAGAAATCATATTTACCAGTAAAGTAGTGGCAATGTGCATAACACGATGATGTCAAATTGAGAAAAACAAAGTGATTAAAAGAGAGAGCAAATGATTTTCTCGTAAGGAGAAAAATTATCTTACTTTATTGCACAGTCTTTATGCATATGTATTAAGATATTTGCATATCTTCTCGCTTTCATAAATATTTATTTTATATTTGCATTTCTCATTTCTCTTTCTCAGGAACAGTTCTTAAGACTATTCGGAAATGAAAAAGAATTTTATCAAAAGTTATTTACAAAAACTACTTTTCTCTTTAATAATTAATTTGGCTTACTTTTCCTTCGAATTTTGGTTCAGTGTTTCAAGAAATAGACAGTAACCAATTGATAAATGAAATAGTTTACCATCACAGAACAAAACTGATTGACCTAACTCATAAGAATTATCATTTCGGTACTCAGCTATTAAGGATCGCAATGCCATCAAGAATCGCAGTATCATCAAGAAAAAAATATTATCATCAAAAATTATAAGCCATTCTTTGCAGATTATTGCTTTACAAATAAATTTCTTATTTCCATTGTTTATTTGCGCCGAATAATTGATATGTAACTGCTTTTTCTTTTTTTTTTTTTATTGATACTTCGTAATGGATTGAAGGATGCAAAAGCACGAATGAATTTGAATGCTTTCTTATATTTAAATAATAATCAATTAAATCTCTAAATAATTTAATTTAACTTTCTTGTTTAGTATTTCAATTCTCAAAAGTATTTCTCTTTTCTTGTTAATTCGTAAGATCAGATAAGGAACAGGATGAACGGTAATTTGTTGCAACGATCACATTCATACCGTTCTGCAAAGCGTTACTTACATGAAGTAGTTACATGGAAAAAGTAAACTTACCTATTTGTCCAAATAATAATTTATGCCAATACAAACCACGGGGTATATGCAGAAACATTCAAAATTAAAATATGAATAATATGAAATTTGTGTATGTGAAGCAGAGTTTTTTGGGAAAAAAATAATACCGGTTATATCACAGTGATAAGTGTTAAGAGTGCGAATTGGGAATATGCATGAAGCAGTTTGAAAGCCAAATGCTTTGAATAAATTTCTACAGCATCCTATAATCATTACATTTGTTGGTTGTCTTTAGAAGACATATGATTAAAAGCTAATCTGAAATTCGCAAGCAGAAAATTTCATGACTACGTGAAATTCGCTTCCAAGTCATGTCATCTTTTGCTTTCATATGAATTAAAGTAGATTATTCACATCCGGAAAATATTGGAAATAATGTGCACTTGCGGTCAAATGGATGACTTTATAACATGATATCATAATTCCAATACAATAAATTAATAAGTAACGGTTTTTACCTCATATTTCCCAAGTTCAAAACGATACAACTTATGAACATCGTGAATTTATTTGTTCATATTATACTTGTCTTTTTCATTTCAACTTCAGAATTATCAACTGTTGATTATTTGCGCCTATTAATCAGTAGTATGTTGTTCTAATAAATGAGTTTCAAAGTTTTCAATTTTTCGTTATGAATATCATATGTAGTCAGTTTTTTAAATTTGAACTGGAATAAACAGCCTGCTTTGAAGATTTTTTCAGCAATTTTTATTGTTTGAAATTGAATTACAGAGAAGTAAAAGTGCAAAAGAAGAGTAATTAAGCGAAAACCTCGACGATGATGCGCACAGGAGATGTATAAACATACTGAACCAACTTCAGTACTGTATTTACACTTCATTATTGGCAAGCATTACTGTAATTATACAGTTTCTAGCAAGCACGGCTAACGTCGACAATGCATTCAATTTCTTTCTTTTCCAATTTTTGTTTCCCATCGTTACGCTCAATTTGATGTTACTACTATTACTATGTCATGACCATTATTATCATCATTATCGTTCTTATCATTATCATCACTATCATCATCAGCAACATAGAAATTCAACTCTTACAGGCATCTAAGATGATAATGATTGTCGTAAAAAACGAAACATTTAAATTATCAATCCTTATTTTACATGATGGAAATGCTTCCTAAATCTCTTTAATTTCATGAAATGCAACAATGAACAGAAATAATGCATGATGCAAAACTCTTAAATTTTTATTCGTCAAATATCAAGAATGCAAAAGATGAGCTTCTTTAAAAAGCCGCATCGAATCACATTCAGGAGTTAATACCCTTTTCACATCATCGAAACTTATAATTCCATCATTATCCATATCCATTTCCTAAATTTAATCCTACAATAAATTTTTTTGGATAAATATATTAAATGAAGAAAGCAATAAAGTGGAAAATAAAACTGGGATATAACATTTGTTCACTTTTTTTGTTCAACAGTTCCTGGTTTTTACTTAAGAAGTATCCTCCATATATAACTTATTATTATCATTATTACTACTGATAATTATTACTACCACTATTATTGTTATTATTATTAAATTACTGTTTATTAGGCATAGTTAGACAAAACAATAATTAAATAGAAAGGAAAAATTTTGTAGACATTAGATCACTGCATAAACTTACATTGAAACATTGCAATGTGTAATGTCTGAAATTTGACGGAAATTGAAATGGCATCGATGAACAACTATTATTATGACCATAATGATTATTAGAAACATGCATTTGGCTAAATAAATGATGCGAATTATATGCTATCGATGGAACATTTAAACTGAATACAGCTTCAGCATAGTTTTTAAAACCATCTAAATTTATTTGTTCCTAAAAAAATGAAACAATAGCGATTATGAATAAATATTTCATCTATTTAGTAAATCTACTTTCTAGATTTTTTTTTTTGAAAATTTCTCAATTAAAACAAATGATAATTTTAAATTAGCAATTTACACTGATCAAATTATGATAAAACAGTGAGCATAATAAATGAAGCATAATTTTAATGAAATTAATCAGCTGATGTGTATATAATGGATAAGCTAACATGATCACTTGGTTTCATCAACAAGAAAACAAATTGTGCAATCCTTGAGAAATGAGCAGATGAATTTTGTGAACTTGTTGATGCGTAAATACAATAGCATTCACTTATTCGGTGTAAGCATAATATTAATTCCTTAAAAGGAAACAAGAAATTTAAACTTACATTAATTCAATTTGTGTAATTAAATCTGTTGCATTAATTTTTTTTAACTCTAATACAATTAATTTTATTAACTCTAATGATAACTAAACTATTACTTATAGTTTTTTTTTTTTTTTTAAGAGAATATATATGTCATGAATACCTCGAAAGTAATATGTTTTGAGGTTTTACCACCGGCAATAGCTCGAAATACACGATCAGCAAATTCACTATTTGCTGATTTGGGAAATATAAGCTGGAATATTCGTCTCCACTGCTGTAATGGCATTCGCCCATTTGAGCATATCTACAGTAAGTATTAATTAAAAGTAAGCTTATGCAATACCAGAGAATAGTAAAAAAAAATGGAAGCAAACTTTTTTTGCCATTTTCGTTTTATCATTTATACTATTTCAGATTTAAAATTTTTCAGAAATTCTCATATAATATTTGTTTTTGAAAAACTTTTGTAGTAGAAATAAATGATCATTTGATAATTTAAAACATCGTTGACAATTACAAGTGCAACAGTGTAAAAATAATGAAACAATTTTAAATTAATGCAACTATTAAGTAATGAAATTTGCTTAACCTGTTTGAAATTTCGATACATAAACATAATCCAATCTTTATTAAATCCAGTCACATGAATTAATTCATTCAATGAAGGAGGTTGTGTGTTAAATGGATTAGATAATAAATCTTCAACATCCATTTCCATATCTAGAAAATTTATGGTTTTTTCATTATTAATGTTTTATTATTTATTTTTACTATTATTATTATTAACTATTATTATTACTGTCCACAATGACACTTATTATTTTATAATTCCCACGTTGCTAATAACGGTAGCAAGTATATTTGTCAAAAATGCATAGATTCGGCAGAAAAAACATTATTTTCTAAAGGAAATCATACATATCCTTATGACTTACAGTCTCAGAGTAAAATGAGTAATTATGATTACTGAATTTCAATGGTTTGTCAATTTTCAAATATCAATCTATAACAATATCTAAAAAACAACTAATAATGACATGAAAGTGAGCTAAAAGATAGTATTACAAGTGTGACAAATGCGCCTAACGTATAACACGATGTGTTATAAGAAACGAGCAAACTTGCCCTCATTATAAAAACAAAACCAGAACTGTATCCTTCGACAGGTCCAATACAATAATTTACATAAACGATTTGACGGCACACAGGTGGGTACATCACCAAAAACCCTGCAAACTTATATTGAATAAATAATAATCTTTAATTTCAAAAAACGAATTAAAACAATAGGATTAGTATAACCTTTTAAGTTTATGATATTTTTCAGTAGCTGATGAATACTGAGCATAAGTTTCCGGGTAACATTCAATTTTCATTCCATGAGATGATCTGAAATTACGTCATATGATTTAGAATAAATTAATCTAATTTGAAAAACCCGATAATATCAGCTCATTTTTTTCCTGATTCTTTTTCACATTTCATAGAATATGTATGCAATGATTGAGAATCATTCAAGCAAAATCAATAATCGCTGATAGATTTGAATTTTAAAATTCCTTTTAACTAAGCAAAAAAAGAAGGAGAAATATGGTTTTTGAAGCAAATTTATGCATAATCTTTTTCTTTAATGAAAAATTTCTTATTTATCTGTTTTCTTTCAATTTATCTATAACAAATTTCATTTGTTTCAATTTATATTCTTCAAGCTAGTGATATCTATTGTCAATAATGAAATGATAATGCATTTTGATTGCATCACTTTTTGATTCTTTCTAATCAACAATTCTAATATATATAATGAACAAAGAAGAAAAAAAGAAAGTAAGCTTAAAAATAAAGACTCTTTTCATTCAGTGTTTATCATTAAATAAATGTATAGAGAAAAAAAAATGACAATAAAATGTCTTAAATTTAAATTTATTTTTGTTATAAAATAATTGAGAAAGGAAGAAAAAGAGAATGAGAGGGAGAAGGAAGAGAGAGAGAGAGAGAGAAGTATAAGAAAACAAAGGGAAAGAATTATATGAATAAATAAGAAGGATAATAGCGTGGGTAATGAGCAGTAAATAGCATTAAGCAGTAATGATAATAGTAATGATATCAGCGATAGAAGTAGTGCAGTAGAAGATAATTCGTTGGAAGGCACACATCCATAATAATAGTACGAGAGAATAAGCAATTGTGCTAATTACGACATAATATAAGTAAACAATAAATGTAAGTTAACACTTACTCATTCATCTTTACATTCACTTCCATATTAACTCTTACTCTTACTTCTATTTTCATTTTTAATTCAACGTTTTAATAGCAATCATTCATACCATTTGAAGCAATGAATGAATACTTCGCATAGTTTTTAATAACACTGCAAGAGGATCAAATAAGATGCCGATGATAATAATAATTAATAATAATATAATAATAAATAATAATAATAACAATAATAATAAAATAATAGTAATAAATAATGACAATAGCAATAATAATAATAATATTAACAGTAATAATAAATAATAATAATATTAGTAATAATAAATAATAATAACAGTAATAATAATATTAATAACAATAACAATAAATAAATGATAAATAAATAAATTAGTTAATCAACAATAATAATAATCATAATATAAAACCAAAATTTCATCAATAAATTTAATGGAAATGAATTTTGCTTAGATAATGAAAAAAAAAATTCCTTTCTCACTCACATTTTTATTTTCTGTGAAATGAAAACTGAAGAAAAAGGAATGCAAATTAAAGCACAATGATGAAAAATTGCTTTCATCAAATGGAAAATGGAAATAGGAGAAGAGAAAATGAGAGAAAATAGATAGGAACGATAAAAAAAGGATTTTGAAGTTAAAGTACATTTTTTTTCTGCTTAATAATATAAATTGAAGCAATGGACTTGTTGGGCTAATATGTTGGAAACGATCAAGAATATAATTAATTTCTCTTCTTGCTTTTTTCCTTTTTTTTTAATCAGAAATTATTTTAATGACTTCGAAATTCTCTTAACAATGCTGAGACAGATATAAAATTACTGCATGATGATCTAATTAAAAATGTTAATTCTTGCTACCATAAATATAATTTTTTATTTATATGTATCTGTCTTAAGTTTATACAAATAGAGTTATATAAAATGTGCATACAAATAGATTGATTATAATTGAGGCGTAAAATGTGAATAATTTTTTGAAAAAATAAACGAAATGGTTTGCATAATACGCATAATATTTGAAACAGTCCTGGAAAAGTTAAAAGTTAGAGAAGTAGATTTAAAAACGAAAAAAGTTGACAGTTTGAAATAATTTCAAAATTAAAAATGGACGATAAAACTAACTTTTTGCTGGCATCGTTGTGATGAGAATGAATTGATGCCAATAAACCACACATTATCGGTGTATATGTTTCTTCTTCCTTAGTTATAAGATTATAAAATTTTATTTAAATATCATAAATATAAACTGTTTGCGCGATATCAAAAAACCAGAAAAAAAAAGGAAAAAAAAGAAAAAAAATTAAACCGAAAGAAAACATTCATATTATTTTAATCAAAATATTTGCATTTTTAACATCAATAATGATTTGCCACTTTTTTTTTTAATTTTTTTTTTTTTTTTCATTTATGTAATAGTACAAACTATTTTAAATTGTACAAACACATCGTGTTAAAGTTATTTCGAAGAAAATTCAGTTTCTTAAATGATTAAGGAAAGAACTAATTTTATGTATTATATATATATATATATATATATATATATATATATATTCGTTTTTATTTTATATATTCTTTCTTGAAGTTTTTTTTTCTTTCAAGTCACTACTTTACATATTCTATTTTTAAAATAACTTTTCAAATGAGATATGAATAATACTATGTATAGTTCATATATGAGAACTACATTCTGACAATGTTTGCTAATTTTGTAATTGCTACAATAAATATTTGTAAAATTTTTTCTTGTAAACAAGCATTTCTTATTTAAATAAAACACATACTAAATTTATGATTTCAAAAATTTTACAATAAAAAGAAGAGAGAAAATCGCAAACAGTATATAATGATAATTGAAAAGAGTACATACAAAAAAAATATCATGATAATTACAACGAATAAATGATAATAATTGTAATGCATATATAGTGATAATTGCAAAGTATATATAGTGGTAGTTGCAAAGAATATATAATAGTAATTGCAAAAAATATGCAATGATAATTACAGGGAATGTACAATTATAATTATAATGTATGTATAGTGATAATTATAAGGATGTATGATAATTACAAAGAATATATAATGATAATTATAATATATAATGATAGTTATAATATATGTATAATGATAATTATGAAGTACATATAGTGACAATTAAGATGAGTATGTGTAGTGATTGAGGGAAAGTTTAAATTATTCGTTTTAATAGCGATAAAACGAATGCTCCTATTGTCACTTTTCCTACATAATAATTAATAGTTCGCTTTCTTCTTCAAAAATTGAAATAATTTCATTTTCTTCATTCATTGCCTAACAAAAAAAGAGAGAGAAGAAAAGAAAAATATTGGAAGGAAAGGAAATTAAAAATAGAAATCATTTTTAATGATACAAATAAATCATAAGCATAAGAAAAAAAAAAAACAAAGAAAGCAAGAAAGAAACAAAAGCAAATTGTTTTATAATTTTCAAACACAGTTTTGTTTTCAGAAAGAAAAAAATAATTTAAAGATTGAAATTGAAATACCTACCAGTAAAAAATGTTTTACTAAAATGTTTAGCTTAATTTAATTATTATATTTGTCTTTTTATCTCTTTTATGTTTTTTAGAACGATTTTGAAATTTTATTGTTTTTAAAAGAAAAAAATGTTTGAAATTTAAAACATATTCACTAATAATTAATTGAGTAACAAAATGAAAGAAATAATTCATTATTTTTTAAATCAACATTTTCTTTCATTAATCAATATGGTTTTTCTCAATTTTGCATTAATTTTTCGAAAAATTACAAATAAACGTTGGAATGTTATTAAGTGAATATAATTTTTATCAATTTTAATAGTAAGTAAAATTGTAATTCGGACCAAATTAGCAGATATGATAGGAAGGAAAAAGAAACTGAATAATGAAACTGGTTAAAATGTAAAATTAAAAAGTTGATAAAAACATTATGATTTAATGACTTGAAATTTATCACCTACATGAAAGCTGTTATCAAGGTTATCATCATCCATCTTTCATCATCATAAAAATTAACACTTTACCATTTTAATATTCTTTTAAAGATCATTAATATCGATCATTTGACTTATATCAAATCACTATTATCATTTAACAATGACTTCACATCTTATCATGCCTATGTGTTACATCTTCCATCATATGATAAAGAAATGATAAAACAGTAATCTAAAAAATTATATTTTGAAAAAAAGGCGACTGATTGCATTAAAATTTTAGTACAATAAGTATTAAAATAATCATCTAAAAAAAAAAAAAAAAAAAAAAAAAACAAAAATATTTCAAGGTAATTTGGAGCAAATTTAAAATTTCATTCACTCTTCCGACTATCAATAATCATTATCTTTAACCATTAGTCTTTTTGATAAATTTCATTAAGTACTCATGCAGTTATGATGTCAAAGTTATAACTGTTATAGTTAAATAAAGAAAAAAAAAAGTTTTGAAGTTACAAAAAAAGGAAGTTGAATGATATATGCTCAGAGAAAAAACTACTCAGTAAGTAATATTTTAAAATGAAGACAAATAAAAAATTGCTGAATAAGTAATATTTTATAATGAAAATAAACTGATAATGCAAACAAACAAAATAAGGTTTTGAAATTTGAAACTAAATAATTGCTGATTTAGTGAAGATACTTAAAGTAATAAAACTTTTCCTTTTTTTATTTTTTCAAAAAAAAAAAAGGAATTTATGGATTATTTTTGTGTGAACAGATGGAAAATTGTATTAATTTTATTGCTCATTAATAAAGAAATTGTTAAAAATAAAACACAATCTGTGTTATATGAAATTTTAAATGAAAAAAAAAAAAAAGAAAACGAAGCGAAAAGTTTGATTATTTCCATTATCAATATTATTATATATATATTGTAGCTTACTTTTATATCTCCTTTTTTCCTCAAATTTTCAAATTATTTCAAAATTTGTCTTAATTATTTCAAAAAATACTATTTTAATCATTCCAAATAATAATATTTTAATGTGGTAAAAAATTGTGATTGTATGAGGATGATAGCTAAATTAGTGAACGATAAATTATAATTGGTGGAAAAAAATAATATTTTAGTTACAACAGTATATTAGATCAGGAAATTGCGGAATGATAATTTATATCAATAAATTTTGATTATTAATTTTAAATCATATTTTCGTTCAGATATTATTTCACAAGAAAAAAAAAAAACTTTGAAGTCGTAAAAAATGAGAACTGAAAGAAAAAAAAAAGAGGGAAAAAAAGAGGTATCCAAAAGATTTATGGCGAAATTATAGAACATTTCTACAGTGATTTATTATTATATTTCGTACTTATTTTGCAAAAAGATTAATATTGTTAAAACATTGAAACTTTCACATTTCACATTTGTATTTTTTCTTAAAATATGCGTTTTTGATGAATCATTATGAGTGAGAAAGTACATGCAGTTATAAATTTTAGTTATTCCTCAAATTTCATTTTAAATTTATGCTAACTGTAAACAATCGATTATACCACGTGACAATTCACACTAGGATAGGTGGCGGTTTGTGATATTTTCAGAAATATTCGATCAAATTGCATACACATACACACACACGTATACATACATACATACACATATAGAAACGTAGTATTGATGATATCGCTGAAACAACTGTGATATCAAAATTAAATGCAATAAATTAATCAGTCTTCCATTAATCTTTGCATTGCCTGAAATGCTTTCTTTATCATTCTCTGCAATAAAATGAGAAAAAGAGGAAAGGAGGACTTGAAAAAGATTATTTTACTTTCATCTCTTGCATTTATCCTTTTGAGATAAGAACACATATCATCTTGTGTTCCTATTCTATTAAAACATGAAGTAAATGCAACGATATCTTATAAATGTAATCATGAAATTGCAATATACAAAACTTTACCGTGAAAAATAAATAATGTTGATAAATTTATGATAGCTCAGCGTGATATTTCTGATCAAAATGAAGTGAAAATAAATATCACAATTTTCAACTTTCATCACTAAACAATTTAAATTGATCGAATAAAATATACAGCTATTAAAATAAATATGACATGTTGAATTTATACTATAAAACATTTATGAATGAAATAAAGCAGTACCTACGAATGCTGCCAACATCATTTTCAGCTTGAAGACACACTCTTTATCCTCTACTAAAATACCTTCTTAGAAATTACAATACTAAGCACTTTTTCTTTTTCACTTGGAAGTAATTTCCCTATATGTGAGATTATTGCAAACACAGTACAATCTGATCGCAAAACTGCATTCATCAATCTACCAAACAATAACACATGCAGCATAATACGAGGTATAATCAAAAGTTTGACTCCGGAAATATCAACATCTCTTCAGCTCTTCAAACATAAACAAATAATATGCCAAAGATCGGAAAATTTATCTTTAAATCTTTCAATTGACAAATGGTTGAGCAAAAATGCATTTAAGCATAGAAACTCAGAGACAACATAAATGCATAGGCCCCATGAGTATATATCATTTCCCCTTGAACACTTTATCATAGTCCACAATCAAGCGATAACAGAAATGATTTAGGTTATTTAACTGAGCTATCGGAACCTGAAAAAAGCAAATAACTTGATGATATCTCAACATGATAGTAAATAATTTCCCAACATAGTCTTAATCCTTCTTCAATTTAATCCTTCAGTTCTTCAATCATTCAATCATTTTTTTAATCTTCTTTGCATTTGAAAGTGACTACTTTATCAAAAAACTAGTTAAAGGTATTGTATACAATATAAAAATTATAATTTTACCTCGCGATCTGTAGGCCATGTTAAGTTTGGACCAAAAACAACACTAAGATTGTTAGCATTCATTAAATTTTCTTTGCTGTGAGCAGCCACCTGAAAAGTGCAGCATTCAAAACTTCATCCATTATAACAAATCGAAAATCACGATAATGGAAATACATTACTCAGTTTAAAAATGATGGCAAGCGAAAAACAAGGCATTCATTAAATTATTTTGTAACAAGAATATCCCTTGGATAATCAGTACTGTACAGCCATAAATTAAAGCAAATTGTTAAAGATGAAAAACGCTTAGAGACTAAAATCACCAACTACTAATACAATTTATAGAAATAAAAATTAACGAACTTCTGTCAAGAACTGACATACAGTCTTCAACAACATCCAATTTTCAAGTGGAAGTGCATCCACTATTTCAATGATCGCTCCCAATTTACTATCCTTCGGCAATTCTAAAAAAAAGTGCTTCTGCGTAAATTCTATTACTATCTTATCATTTTTTTTTTTTTTTTTAATATTTTGAGATTCTTAAATAACCTACATTCTTACAGTGAAACCTACATTAAGCATTGATCGATAATGATACCTGAGAGAGCAGTAAGTCTTGGATATAGTGCATTGGTAATAACAGGCTCACCAAGTGAACGCAAAAATGTCTTCAATAAGACCGAAGCAGCAATAGATGCTACTTGCAAATTATCTTTGTATGGTTCTTCATTCAAAAAATCTATTTGTTCACCTGCAAAATAATTTCAATACAACTGAATTTTTTAATTTTGATCATAAATAGTTCATTGTTCATTGCATAATTTCAAACATGATTAAGAGAATATATCTACCTCTATCAATACGTTCTTGCAATTTCCGAATTGAATTAACTTCAGCAGATCGTCGAAACAATCCAACGACATTTAACGAATTGTCTCGCAGAAACGCAGTGAGATCAGTGACTACGGGAGGAACATCACAATCAGGATTATGTGATAATATACTGCAAAATTATATTTATTGAATCAGTTTATGCACTGATTTTAATATCTTTTCGCAACTATCTGAATTACATGTAATCATGTTTTTAATATTTTAAAATTTTGCAGCTTTTTTCATAGTTTAAAACACTGCATGAAAATAACGACTGCTTGTAAAGTCAAGTTTATACAAGCTTCTTTATCATTTCCACCATATTTTAGATAACTTACAATTTCAGTGGAACATTGAACTGCTGGGTTGGACGTGGGGTTGCGCAAGATCTTTTGGTTAATTGCGATTTGGGTGTAATACGTGAAGACACTAGTAGTGCTACGTCGTGTCTAAAAAAAAATAGAAACTAGTAATTTCGAAAGATGACCAATCAAACAATCATTCTTCTCCATATTCACTAATAATTTTCAAACAATTTCCGAAAAAGCTGCAAACATCTCATTCTCATTTTTATACATCACTGCGTCATTTATCAGCTTCAAATGAAGCTTTCCAAAACTTTGAATCTCAGAAGAAAAAGCACTCTTTGATAGGTTGAGGAAGACTGAGTTGTTCTACGCGAAGAATCGAATCCAATTCATGCAGATAATTGACATAATGAATTTTCTGCTCAAATTTAATAGATATAAATGGTTTGAAAATGCTCCAAACGATGCGAATGAATCGAGTTGGATGAACCAAATAAAGTGCTTTCAAATTCTTCTTATATCTATAAAAGAGACAGACAATGAATCATTTCAGATGTAGAGCAAAAAATAAAGGAAAAATCATAGTTATAAGAGCCTCAATTTTGTATCACATCTCCTATTTAATCAGTAGATCAATCCATAATGAGCTGGACAGAAAAAGAAAACTCACTTTCTATCTAAAATGGAGTATGCTTGAAGAAGCCATTTTAAAGATGGTTTGTTATTGCTTCGCAGTCCATAATGGAAATACACAATAGTATAATCTAACTCAACCAATTTATCCAACGTAAATTGCAAAAACCTGCAACCAATACTTTTTTCTTGATTTCAAATAGCTATTCTCAGATATTAAATATTACAGAGAGATCATTAATTGCTACATTTTCAACTGTCCATATTCTTTCATGTTCTCTTGGGATGCGGTATTAGAAAAGATTATGCAGATATGAAAATATATATATATATATATATATATATTATATATATATATATATATGAATATACATGAAATATATGAAAGATTTCTGAACTATTAATTTAAAAATGTGAAAAAAAATACCGAAGAAATTTCGCGTGGTCAAATGTTTTATTAGAAGGGAGCCGATAAGCGTAGATTACCACAATCGGCCTAAAAATGATACTTAATCAGATATGAAAGTATAATAATATAAATCAAACATCAAAAAAAACAAAACAAAACAAAAAAGAAAAAAACGTCAAAAAGAGCAAATTCAGACATATACCTTCCCACCCAATCACCGTCGGCAATCACATTTACAATCTCATGTTGACTTATATTAGAGAAATCTTCGGCAAACGGATCATCTGCTGAACAACCAAGTTCCTTTTCGAAATTATCGCGCTCCAGAAATGAAGATGTGGTAAGGATTGTGTCAGCCAAACCTAATTCCTCTGTAAAACTTCAAAGGGAATTTTGACTAGCAGATTGACAACAATTATAAAACATTAAAAATATAGAACTGATGCAAATAAAGCCTACACGTAAATCAACTATTCTATATGTAAATATTCCCGACAGTCAAATTTTATATTCAAGCATTTTTTTTTTTTGAAGAACTTTTATTTGATAGAACAGTAAGTGTAATATATTACATTATATCTAACACTTAAAAACATACAAAAGATACTAAAGAATTTTAATTGACAAAAACAATTTACAATAATAAATCGAAGCATACTGAGAGCTATTCTTCTCGATAACACTTCTTTTCTCTAACAAAATCTATTTGCATGATTTTTATGAGCTAATATAAAATCGTATCATAATATTTGCTCCTATTGTTTTGATATATTTTACCTCATCAAATTACGATCACTTATATTTTTCACTCTAATTCCGATATTTTCAAACTCCGTCATTTAAATAAAAAACTTACTGTTCAAATTCGTTTCACTGATATCATCTAAACCGAATAAGTCATCCTCAGCAAATTCTGCATCCGGTTCCACGAAATCAACATTTTCAAGCTCACAGCTTCCCATAGTCGTTTATCTTTTGGCTCAGTTGTCAACATTCCATTTAAACATTAAAAAAAAAAATTCTGAAAATTATATCGTTCCCTTTTTGTAATCATCACACTTTCTCTCTTCGAGAATCGTGGGACACTCTAAGAAAAAAAAATCTGATTAAATTAAAAATATTCAGAAATATCCAAAAAAATCATTGCCTTTTATCCTATGTCTTCTCACACTGTTTCTGATCCATAAATTTATATAAGATAAAACATCATAAGAGAAAGAAAACCAGTTTTTGAATTCCCTTCCCTAAAACAAATTCAATCCTTTTTTTGCAAATAAGTTATTTGGAGGTTATTTTGATGCTTGTAGTTATTTTTTGTTTTACTTTTATCTCATTTAAGTTATTAGCTTATTTCAAATAATTTCTTACAAGCAAAAAAACCTTTATAAAGAAGCTCCCTCAATTAGTGGCAACTTTTATCGAAAGACAATTGCTGAAAAAAAAGAAGAGATGATAGCAAAGTCATGTAAGACAAGCTTTTTCATAGCGGACCATTCATAACGGATAATTTGAGGCACGTGATGACAGGGTTGTTGGCTGGTGAATGGGGGGGACGGTAGCGGGGTCAATAGGTCATGGTGCTTAGCTTTGGTAATTGTTGAGTAGTATATGTGGCATACCTGTAAACAATGGAGATGAGATGGCCACTGATGATTGCTCTATTCTTCATTGATTTGTTGTGTGGAAGATACGGTATTTAACCGTGAGATATTGGTATTTGGACGGATTTCGTACAGTAGTCCAACATTAGAAGAGAAAGAGGAAGAATTTTCTTTCATCTCATAAATATCTCGCTTTATCCTGTTACAAGAATATTTTATAAAAACCTGTTAGTGCTACAGTTTTGGTAAACATATTACTTAATTTGCGTCTTAGTTAAATTCTTAATTAGCATATATCAGTTATTATTTAAGGCAGAAAAATACTTAAAAAGATGCCGGTTTAGGATGTATTTCGCCATATTTCAGTTTTTTTAAAGATTTATTAATTGATAGGAGAACCTATGTAAATTGTTGAAGGAAATTTTACAATCAAAATACTCTTTTTTTTTTCAATAGAATAGTTAAGATGATATTTCAAATAGTATTAAAAACGGTTGAAATCTGGTAAAAGTGCTACGAATTTTTGATATTAACTTACCTAACTTCTTCATGAATTTCATGGACTTGATAAATTTGTTGCCGGAATTGTCGAAATTAATAAGCTGATATTTTTTTTTTTTGTGATATAGCGAAACGAATTTGTCAGCATAAATCACGTGATTTGCGATTTGCGTGTCAGACAACCATAGATCCCGAAGTTTTTATCGAAATATATGGTAGTAAGATTTTGAAAAAAAGAAAAAATTCTCACATTGAACGTAATCAAGTTTCAGCAAAAGAACCATTCCGGCGCGTCACAAAAAAATAGACAAGAAGAACATGGCTGTCCTCAATTATGAACTATGAATTGTAGATCTGGCAAGGATTTGGAAACCCATTAAACATTTGAAGAATCTATCAAGAAGTATTTCCTATAGGAAGCCATTATTATAGCATAATTTAAATGGCTCGAGAATCATTGACACAGAACAGTAATTTACATGGACGATTAGCAGAGATTATTCCGAAAAAGCTCTTTTTCTGTGCATTCCAAAATCGACCGAAATCAGACCGCTATACGGATTATTATTACGTTGATGACGAAGTGCATTATGATAGTTTTTACTCTGATTTTGGCCCGTTAAATCTGTCTGTACTTTACCGATTCTGTCAAAATCTTACGGAAAGATTAGAAGTATGTTTAAGAATATATAAAATCATTTATCGCGTCTGGATAGGTTTCTCGTCTTAGAAAGATCATCTATCGTGAGATCTTTGAATAGACAAGTTTCCTTTCTCGACTTCTGTTTTAACATAATTAAGGTAATTTTTTGTTTGAAATTATTTTTTGATGGAGGGTGATGAAGGCAGTCTTTATTTGGATTCAGTCCTGTTTATTTTCTTTTTTGAATTTAGGACGTAGACGATGAAAAATCTGTAGTGGTATGCTGTGGACCTGCTGATGAATGTCGAGTAAATACAGCCTATTTAGTGGCTTCTTATGCGGTTTCATTTTTAATTCTTACTTTTGCATAAAATAATTATCTTACTCGTCGGGAATTTATGAATTAATTGAAACTTCTAATTTTTGTAGTTAATACTATAAGTAATAATACATAGAACTTTTAAAAAAGAGGGCAACAAATAAACTAAATCAATACAGAGACAGTACACGTACTGCCAACAAGAAAAAGAGAATGGAATACAAATATGAGACATAGAATATAAAAAGAATAACAAGAAAAACAACGAGGGAATGTATGTTACATGTAAAAGAATTAAATAATAGTAGTGTTTCGTTCAGCATAGTACTGTTGTAACTTGTCCTTTTTCAGATTCTTTACTTGGGAATGACGGCCGAAATAGCATATTTGCGGATACACAAGGCGGAACCGGATGGCTTTATCGGATTTCGAGATGCAGCGATGGGTCCAGCAACTTATCGACTACATCTCCACAATGTACTTCGCAGTATCGAGAAGGTATTTATGGAAAGCTTACTAACTTTTCTTAAGGGTTCTACATTTACTTATTGGAAACTGATTAGTAGCAGTTTGTTGGTGATTCAATTTTTTATGGTAAAAAAATTTAAAGAGAAAAATGAAAGAAAAATGAAAATTCCATTTTAATTTTTTGCAACATTTTATCAGCAGAAATCTTGCCGCGAAATTTGTAATTTTTTCTTTCGCTACATGGGGTAATTTTTACTTAGCTTGCGCGAGAGGGAAAGAGAGAAAGGAGAGAGCAAAGAAGGAAGCAGAACTGTTGTACAATTGTTTTTACTTCTGATCTCTAACTGGTTTTAGGGTAACGATTTGTGGTGCTTAGAATCGAACTATGAAAGACTATCTTCACTCTTTGACAATTCCAAAATTCATAAATAGAGGAAACAGCTTTGAATAAAATACATTAATCGATAACAGAACAAAAGAGAGGCCAAAATGCTATTGTTCAGGAGCGGAACGCATTAGCATATTGATAACCAATCTGTTGCATAACAGTGTAGGCATAGAGAACGACCCGAGTATTTATCAGTTCTCAACAAGCATTTAGTAGAGCGATAATACAAATTGAGTTGAACATAACTGAAAACATAAAAAGCATAAAAGTTTTAATAACATAAAATTTACTGCACTTGAAAACGATTCAGCAGTTATTCATAGATAGTCAAAAAAAGTTTGAGAACTAGTCCATTTGCTGTTTTGTCTGTATGACATTAAGTGCATCATTCTGAAAACTGAAATATCTTCATAGGGTTATGCTAACAGAGATATGAAATTGATTGTTTACAATTGTGGGAAGATATGGAATTGGTTTATTAAATATTGCATATATGGTCAATTATAGGCGATGAAATTCGGTTGGTTAGCGTTTGATACTTTTGACCCAGATGAATATGAATATTACGAGAAGGTCGAGAATGGCGATTTGAACTGGATCATTCCGACAAAAGTACTAAGCTTCTGTGGACCGCACAATAAATCAGTTGTTGAGAATGGTTAATATCTGGGTTTTTTTTTAATTCTTCAAGCTCGTTTGAAACAATAGAATATTTGCAACTATTTAATATAATATCATTATAGTTGTTCAAATAGTTGCAGTTCAGTTGACGATGAAGGATATTGTGTAATGAATGAGAAAAAAAATTTAGTTTCAAGGAATTTAAGGTTATCCATATCACGCACCGGAAGTGTATTTTGATTATTTTCGCACACATAACATTTCGACTATTATAAGACTTAACAAACGCATGTACGATGCCAAAAGGTTCGTTTTTATTTATAGTTGTTGAGACATATTGAAAAATGACAGAGCTCTTCTTAATTCCATTTTTTGTAACATTTTCCACTGAAATTTTTTTATAGGTTTTTAGACGCAGGTTTCGAGCATGTTGATCTCTTCTTTGTTGATGGTTCGGTACCATCCGATGAAATCGTTGAACGATTTATTAATGTTGTTGATAGCGCAAAGGGGGGCGTGGCCGTTCACTGCAAGGTATTTGGATCATTTAATCAATTAACTCAGTGGATTCGACTGTCTCAATGAATATTATTTATATTAAATTTCAGGCAGGATTAGGTCGGACAGGGACGCTGATAGCTTGTTGGTTGATGAAAGAGTACGGCGTGACAGCAGCTGAATCAATAGCTTGGTTACGGATTTGCAGGCCTGGTTCAGTGATTGGACCACAGCAGGAGTTCCTTATTGAAAAGCAGCCGTGGTGCTGGGCAATGGGTTCTAAACCCGCTTCCACTCATCTTTCGCAACTGACTAATAAGGTTCGCTGAGCAGAAACTTCTTATTTCAGCATTCAGATCAAAATAAGACACAGCGTTCGTTTATTGGTAATTGCTTTAAAATATCTTCAAAAATTTTCAGGTGAATGAAATTAGTATTGAAGATTCGAGCTCGAAAGGAATAGTGCTACCAACATCTCGGCCTCTCGCATTGAAATGTTCACCAAAGAAAACTAATGAAGTTGTATATTTAAAAGTAGAAAATTGGGAAAGGAAAGGAAAAAGCAAAGAGAAAAAATGACCCATTTATCCTAGAACAAAAAAGAAAAAGGAGAGCTAAATCGTCTTCAATAATGTGTCATTCTCCTTAATTCTATGCTTTGCAGCTACAGAACATGATAGATAAGGAATGTGGTGAGAAAAATGATGGGAAACCAAGTCAGGGTGATCATTTGTTGGTTCAGAAGGCTAAATCACAACGTACTATTATATCGCATGCAAAATTCACATCACCTACAACTCCCGTTAAACCACTATCAACCAGTGGTAATACATCGGCAAGACGTTCTTTGCGAAGCTATGGTGATGTTAGTATACCACCACCGCCGGTAATTTTTATCACTGCAATTCAGAATGTATATTTCTACTGAACTTATATAGTATTATGTATACAAAACAGGGATTATTATATCTGCAATCAGGAAATCACAGAATACAAAACATTATCCTAATTGCAAGTTGCAAGAAATTTTTCCTTTTTTCTATCAAAGAAATAATCTTTATTGGGTTGGTAAAAAAATAATATTAAATATGAATTGAATGTGAAAAGAGTTGAGTATAATCAAGAGTCACAAGAGTATAATCACATTCCTAGGCAATTCTATAGTTAATTTCATAGTAGATTATATTCAGATTTCACGAATTACGGTATCTGCAACGACTTCTACAGCAAGTAATAGACCGTTAACAAAATGCAAATCAACGCGAAGACTTGCAACGTAAATTTTTTTCTTGTATTGGAGAAGGAATTTAATGATGTTGCAAGGTAGTAGTGCTTTTTGGCTTATTGCTAGGTTTTCGTAGTAGTTAACCTATTCATGTATTGAAGTATCATGAATAAATCATTAAGAATTATTTCAGCATACGCAGTAAGCCTTATGCATGCTCAGGAGTTAAAGTTAATTTGCCTGCATCAGTTTATGAACTAAGGCCGCGAAATAATAACAAAACATATAGTGTGTTTCGTTTCACTGATCCTGCCAAGGAACTTGCGCCCAATTCGGTTGCTCTTATCGGTATTTCTGTAAGTAGTTTCATAGTTTTTTCACAAAATATTATCTGAAAAATTATTTTCCTACCATCCATTCTGTATGGACTGCGCATCATTTCTATCTCAGTTAAAAAGAATTAAAGCCCTATACAACGATTGATTCGCAGATTTTAGGCTCGACGGAATCTAAGTGAATTCTGAAACAATAAGCAATTAGTATCCGGTCCTGACAAACGGTAAGTGCTTAAATGTAAAGACAGGAATGGACACCAAAGCATTTAATGATCTTCCTTCTAGTGGTTGAAAGGCGGGTATGACTCAGTCCAGTTGAAATTTTATCTTCCTTACGGCATTATTTTTCACCCTATGTAGAGTTGAGCATTTGTAATTTCCTTCAGTAGTTTACCAGTTAAGCCTTTTTTCGTTTCTTATTGTTCATTTTTTATTTTCTTGTGCATTTGTGGTCGTAAAAGCTCTCCACTTATTAATCTTATCATAGCGACCAAGCCGTTATTGTCTTAATTTGAATTTTGGTTGAAAATAATAATTTAAGTCCTTGTAGAGCTAAAAGTTTTCGATTTAAGTGGAAGTAGAAATGCTGGGTTCTTGTCGTCTTTTCATTACATTTCTTTTAGAGTTTTGCATATTTGTAATTTTTATTAATTTGTATGAAATGTATGTGTTTACCTGTATGTATTGTTTTTATCGATGCATTTATAATAGCCCCCCAAATTTCCATTTTGTGGCCTTCAACGCATTTAATGCCTTCCGCGCTAGGCTACATATAGTTTATATAGGTGCACTTTGTTATTCCTTGTTGGGAATGACTATTGGATGAAAAAGCAACAAAATTTTTCGAAAAAGTGTTCCATGGCACTGTACCATTTGCTGAGCAGATAGATACCTGACGAATAGATGAATCAAATATTGAGACTATATATAACAAAAAGCTTCCATCCTTTTTAGAAAGACTCTATATTTCACATCTTTTTTATGCAAGACAGTATACATCGATTCAAACTAGTGAATTTATTAAACGTAATTTAATTCTGCTATATTATTATGAGTAAGCCGAGTATGCTAAGAATTTTGTAAGCAAATTTTCTTTTTTTGGAAGGCTGACATTATATTAATACATGTTACTTCTGTCAATACTGCTATTAATAGGATTCCAATTGTAGCCGTGCATTTACTAATATTTCATCTGCTTTACTGCATAATACATCACTTTAATTGAGCTACTTCAAACAATATATCGATTTTTATTCAACGCATTTTTATGTTTACGGCAAATTGCAGCAATTTATTCTGTCAGTCTTGTTGTCATGTTTCTTTGAGTAAATTTAATCGATTTTTATAAAAAATACTTCGATATCATTAGTTGCATTTTATCTGTTGTTATATGTAATCATGTAGAGAAATCTTCAGCCAAAACTTATAGTGGTTGAATATGTTTTTAACGCAGTAGATGAATTTCTGATAGGAATGTAGTCGGCAAAACATTATGCAACAAAAAATTCATCTCGTTTTTCTTCAACAAATTCCTAATCATTCCCTATAGAAACACATCGACAATGACATGCTTCTATAAAACAAATAGAGAGGATACTATTTAATTCATCCATAAACGGATGAAGACTATGGGGAAGGCAACATTAATCATCATTGCATTATTTCCTCATCCTATAAAAGGAAAAAACAGCCCAGCTCATATTTTGTTTTCCTGTCAACAACTACTTACCTAACAAATAAGGAAGTGTAGCATCAAGACTTTGCACAGCCCATGCGTGCTTAAAAACAAATTTCTCTTCATGTGTCCCATTAAATTCTGAGTTGTTCTATATATGAATGAAATAACGTGAAGAACTGCGATGATGGGGGTCACTATTGTGCACATATCACGATCACAATGGAACAAGTAGAAATATTAGGTAGAACAGCGAGCGATTTGAAAAGCATAAAGCAATGTAAACAATCTGAAAAATCATCTAAGTAAAGAAATAGATGGACGACTTTAATCGATGCTATGACTCAAATAGTGACAGAAAATTCGACGCAAAATGAATGATCAAAAAATAGGGTTAATCTATCAGGAGTAATACAAAAATATTCAAGACTAAAAGAATATTCATAATGCCCTAACATATCCCCAAATCAATTCAGTACTATCGAAATCACGATACATGTTTAAGCAAAATTAATTTTATGAATGCAATTTTACGACTGTAATGTTCACTGTTCATAACTTCTTAGCAAGGAAAAGAGCATGATTATCGGCCAATGATACTTCAACAACGCGATAACCATCGAGGTGTGCCGAAGTAATCTTTTGTGGTCGCGGAACCATCTTATCATCATCATCTTTGATCCCCAAACCAAGCTGACCGGAGGAATCATAACCCCAAGAGTAGGCATTTCCTAAAAACGACAATGGTAAATTGTACTTCTATGGAACTAGATCTATGAAAACGCATTTTGTTTAATCACATCTAATATGGGAACTAATCATACATTCTCATAGTGAATAACTTTATTGATAGCAAGTGATAATGCAAAGGTTACCACTATCAGTCCAAACAATCGAGCAACCAAGACTAGCCGATATTCCCTTGATTTGCTCCGGTACATCGATCTTTTGTAGTTCCGAATATTTCCAATGGTCATCCTCCTTACCACTCCACGTGCCTAATCCCAGCGCATTATCCGTGTTTTTCCCGATGCCATATACTTCACCTAATAAAGTTTTTTGTTTTTAAAAACTATATCAATTATTTATATTAAAAGTTATTAGATATCTTCTACTGTAGAAAAGTTGGAAATCAACTGTACTTACAAGAACACATTATATACAGAAAATTTTTTGATCCATGATGATGAGGAGCTATTACCCTGTGTATTCAAAGCAATGATATGCTGGATACCACTCAACTCAACAACTGTTGTGCTTTCGAATGCGCTCGCCTTAATCGGATGCATTATCTTCAGTTCTGGTTCATCATCTACAAAATCCATTATAAACCTAATTAACATATAAAGAAAGCGAGAATTTCCATTTTTTTTTTTTGTTGGGATAATGCATAGCAAGCTAGCCGTCCGTGAAGGATCAGACTGAATTTTTTGGCTTCAAAAGCAATGCAAAGAATGCGACGCGATCCGATTCTCGCACTTTGCTACAAAAAAAAAAAAAAGTATACGGAAGTCTTTGTCGAATTACGAACAGGAAACATGCAGTACCAACCTTCATCTTCTAGCGCTTTTGGTGTTGGCACACCCAACTGCCCAAAATTGTTCAATCCACATACATAAATAACGCCATCAATAGATCGAGCAGCAGTCCAAAATCCACCGGCCATAATATTATCGAATAATACCAGTTTCTTTTTACCCTTATCATAAACTGAGATTCTTAACGAGTCTGGTGAATCGTTTACCATTCGTTGGGAGCGAATGTGCGACACCCGTGAACATCTGCCCAATTGACCAACCGAGCCATCACCGAACGTTAACACTTCTCCACTCTCTGTTAGCATTACCAAATGATTCTCACCTGCTGCAATCTGCAAATTTTTCGCAAAATTAATGGGTAAATTATGTAAGCTATTCAAAAACAGATAGCGATCCCAATTCACTGAATATGAGAAAGTAAATACCTTTACGATGACTTTTTGATGGTGTTGCACTATGACTACTGGTTGTTTCTCCATTTCCAGCAAAGTTTCGTGGCTTTCAATGCAGCCCGACATACCCTTAAACAAATGATTATTCACCATTAAGAGCATTTACAGAACATAAATTTATCAAAAAAAAAGTCATCGAAATAAAAATTACCCGTAAATTACCCCAAGCAATTACACTTCCTTTATCAGTGAGTGCTGCCGAGAAACTAGCACCAGCGGTAAGCATAACTACCTGAAAATACAATTAATTATTCTCTTTTCAGCCAAATATTTAAAATCATCCAAGAATTATACAAACAGTAAGAACCTTTCCATGGCGCTGTATCAGTAAGTCACTGAATTTAATTGGAGCCAGTTTATCCGATGATCCCTCTGGCTCGACACCTTCAGCCGGCATAGTACCTTTTTCGTTTATTCCACAACCATACACTGTACCATCTTCCATTAACACCAATGAGTGAACTCCACCTGCTATTACCTAAAATATATCCTTAAATACGATTCTGCAAGCACAGTGCAATACAGTTTCCCTATTCAAAGAAGCATGAATATGGAAATAGTCTTTAAATCTCAAAATAGAAAAATTGGCTCCTCGTATCCATATAAATTTTCACCTGATATTATGTTTGTATCACCCTTGTGAATAATCATTAAACGAAAAATAATTTTATTCACTATTTTTATAGATATTTCACATCTAATGTCTTTCAAACGCTGTATTCCTAAAATTATTGTTAATGTGGTCAACAGCGACATAAATATTAATCAACCTGAACGATTAATTTCTCTTCTGGAAGCGTACTAATGGCTCGAGGCTTCCGAGTTGTACTGCGCCCTGGATGTCCAAGTTGTTCGCCTTCGCCACAACTCAACACTCGATCACCTTTTTCAGTTGGCAAAAAACTCTCAACCGACAAATGGAACTTTTTCAACCGACGGGTGGTTGAACTACCGGCACTGCTATCTGAAACACTGCCAAAACTGTTGGTTATGTCGTAATATTCATTCAGAAAGCTTCTAACCATCACCAATTTTTATATCCAATCAATGCGTACTATTGTTTTTTGTCCAATAATAATGCTTTTGACCAGATTAAAAGATAAGTAACAAGAACAGGTAATTGAAGAAATAGATTCAAATTACTAATTTACCTAAAGTCTGTATTTTTCTGATCAGTCATATTCAGTAAAGCTTAAAATTACCAATATGATATGCTCTTAATTATAATAAACACTTGAGCTTATTCTCAAAAGTTTTCAAAATCACATTCAAAGGTACTTACTGAGAGTTCGATTTGCAATAGAAGAGTTGCTTAGGTCCAAAGAGACAAGTTTTCGCTTCTTCCCACGTTCACTCATTCGCGGACTGTCGTATTCACCCTTAATATCATTGAATTGTTATCAGTTATCTGACCTCTTTCAAGAATACTCTACGCAAAATGAGGCTTACAAACAGAGAAGAGTATGTATTCTTGTCATAGAATTACTACATTTCGTACTCCCTTCTCACTCCTTCCCTTGCATATTTATGATTTTATATCGAAAGTATCAAACATTCAAAAACCTAACAATTTACACTTCACAGAAATTATGATAGAATAACTAGTAACGATGAAAAATACTTACGTTCATCATTAAAGATTGTGACGAAGAAATCGCTGGTTCTTCCATCTCAATATGTTCATCTTTATTTATGGTGATTCCATTTTGTGTTCCCATTAACGATATCGGTGCTGTTGTTAAAGAAGCTTTTATCGTTTCCTTTCCCTTTTTCTTTTCTCGTTTTCTTCCCTTCTTCTTTTCAGTCTTCCGATGTTTTAACACTTCCATTGGTTGTTGTGTCACTTTACGAGCTACTTTTCTAGGTGGCATTTCCTACAAACAAAATTTTACATTATGCATTTTCATACAACTTGCACAATGATCATACATGTTAAAGAAAACATATGGTAAAACTGTTACACATAGGAATGAAATAATATAAGAATGTTTGAAAGATAATTGTGAGAAACATAGAATTTTCCAGCAACTACATATTCAAATGTGTGATAGATGTGTAGCAATGCTGTAACAGATGTAGTAATGCCGTACAAATATGACAAAAAAGATTTGCATAAGACCTTTAAACCATTAAAAAGAAAGAGTAAAAAAAGAAAAACCTTTCGAAGTTAAATAATTTTATTATAAAAAGTTAAAAATTCAATTTTAATCAATTAAACTTAGATAAAATTAGACAAAAAAGTAATGAAATATAAATGAACAACAATAATTAGTAAAAGTAACAGTAATAAATTTATGATCGATAATGTTCAAAAAACATATATATCCGAAAGAATTCTCACAGAAAAAAATCAGAAATTAAGGATTAACTAATCGTATAGTGTAATAACATAGCCACTGCAAGTACTGACTCAGCACATCTCTCTCAATCCCTTCAGTAATCTCATAACGGTACATAGCAATCCCTAGCAGCCAAGTATGAAAATCTCTATCCCGCGTAACATTTTTAATTCCTTAACGAATATACATGCTAATTTCACGTATAGTAATGTCTAATTTATGTCGTAAAATTCTGCTCTTAAATCTCTTTAATAGATAATCAATGTAAGAATAAGTCGAAATTCTAAACAAATGTATTATTATCTTTACGTCAAATTTTCATTCCTTGAATCTTGCTAGTAGATAATTAATATAATAGACCAGAATTGTAGACGAACATTTGTTATCTTCATGTTCAATCATTTCTTATCATCTAAATGATGAAATTTCATCCACTATATAATAGTATAATTAATCTATCACTAAGATGAAGGCTTATACAATCATTGTCAAATATTAACTGATCGAATTAATATGTGATAAAATCGGAAAAGTTAATGAAAAATAAGAACGAATGATATATGAAATAAAAAAAATGAATTTAATTTACTTTCAATTTCATATTTCTTTAGTTAATATATTTCATTAGTGATTAATTTGATATGAATGAAATGATGAAAAATTCGTATCATTCGCCAAAAAAAAAAAAAAAAAAAAATCATTGGAATTTATAATGATGAAGTAATTGAATAGCTTAAATTCCCTCTTTTTACGATAATATTATTTCTAACATAATTGCCGATTTCTTTGCTTTATAATATTTATCAGTATAACATAAACGGAATGAATGTTCATTTAACTTCTATATGCGATAGTAAAATTAAATTTCAAAAATTTTTTTTCATTCTCTCTTTTTACGATAATCTAATACAATTTCCGATTTTTTTTCGGTCTTATTATTTCTGGTATAAATTACTGATTTCTTTAATTACCGATTAAAAAAATTCAATGTAATAATTTTATTTACAATAATTATATCTTAACAAATATCTTTTCTTGATTATGCTAATCGACGGTTGAATTATAAATATTTCATCCAAAAGTTTAACTAAATTATTTAATTCCATATCATCTAATAATGATATATATGATAATTCAACTATTTATTTTTTTTGCAATATTTAGCATCAAAAATTTTATTTGTCTATGAATGTTTATGTGAATTAAGTTCTATTATAGTTTGAATTATAATTGACAAATTTGCAACTAACATCTCTTTTTTTGTCATACTATGATAATGATGATCTTTGTGATAGAATATTTGATAATTGTACCTTTTATTAGTAAGATAATTTTTAGAAATATTTTACGAATATTTAAATTGAATTATAGCAATGACAGAGATAATTTTTTGGAAGCAACGATAGCTTGTAATTTAGTTTTGATTTTTTTTTTAATTTTTTATAATTTAGTTTTGAAATATGAAAGATCGCTTACTTTCTGGAATAGTTATTCCGGAATCCTTATCCGGGAATACTTCATTTTACAAAAATATATGAAATGAAATGTTTATGAACCGGGAATAGTATATATATATGTGACGTGAGATAATAGTATTTGCACAACGCCCAATAGCCATAGAGCTGAATGTGTGAGTGGATATGCACGTGTGCATCTTTGCTAAATGATGGGTTAAATCAAATCGATCGGTGTGGATTTGATGAACTTTGACCCTTTGACAATTCAATTTTTTTGTTTGCAGTTTGAAGAAAATATTTGAAGGTAGCTATTGTTACTTTCAATTTTTTTTTCCATTTATTATTCTTTATTATATTTTCATTTCCATTTTTTTTTTGGATATTTTCGTTAATATATATATATATATATATATATATATATATATATATATATTGCTCTTTCAATATAACTCATTTTGAATGTTAGGTAGTAGCAGAAAAGTGAACAATAATTCTCTTATTATCAGTAGTAATAACTGTTATCCATTACCAAATGTAAACTCACAGCAGAGCATTAATGTACAGTTCACCATTACTTCGTTTATTCATTCTACATTCTTTCATATCATACTTTTTTGAAATTATTTTAGTATTTATTTACTTCTAATTGAATATATAGATAGGTACTTGTTATTAAATTTAATATTAATTGGCTTATCTAAATTGTGTAAATATTCTTGGAGGAAATTAATTTATGCTAAAATTTGCATGTATTTCCCAATGATATATTCGAATTGGCTGTCTTACGTTGTTTATTTTTTTTATTGATTTTGCTGTTTATTGGTTTGTTTTTTTTCTTCTGCAGATATTAGGTTTATGGTTCAGTTTTTATTGCAGTTTTAAGGGAGTAATGGACGATTTTGATGTACTCAGTAACGACCAAGCTAATATGCTGCGTCAGTTTCAGGTCAGTTTTGATTATAACTAATATTTTTTATCATTATAGTTATAATAATAACAGTGATAACAATAATAATTATTATTATGTCTGTTAAGTTATATTATTATGTCACTTAATTTATTTCATGGAATTTTGAATTGGAATAGCTATTTCAGGAAGTCACAAATATCCAAGATGAACAAATGGCATTAGCAACACTGGCATCATTGAATTGGGACTTGCCAAGGGCTATAGAAACACAACTATGTAGTAATAGTGATGATGTAGATCAAATGGAAGTTGATAATTCATTTATAGTGGAACATCACAACCAGAGCTTACGACAAGCAGGGATCACAGAACCTGAGGATCGGTAAGGTTACTTATTGGTCTTGATATGTATTAATATACAATTTCGTGCAAGTTTGTTCACTATCCGTAGTATCATGTTATTTGCTGTGATTTTTCGGAAATCACTTTTTTTATACTTGATCTGATCAGAGAATGGTATGTAGCACTATTCGTCCAAAGTAGATTGAAAATGGTAAAGTATCATCTAGTAAGAATTTACTGTTGAATTTAGCTGCATTTTATAGATCGAGAAATAGCGCAATGGATAATGAAGATGAAGATTCTGATTTTCGTTTTGGACGTTTGATAGCTGGCGGGTCAGTAGAAAAATCAAGCAGAAACCAAATTTCTCCTCATAACAATGGTTTTATTTATTTATTTTTGGAATAATAACTAAGTTGAACCTATGACGTCTTAATTTCGTTAGTACTAGTATCGCTGGTAATCATAGTTGAAAAAAGGCAGTTGCGTTTTTTCTAGCGATTTATGCTTATGCGCGTAAAGCAAATGCATTAAATGTTCGTACGATTTGGAAGTTGTTGTCATTGTTACAGTATACTTTTTCAGTTACTGTTATCAGGTCTCTATTACAAAACAGAAAACTAAACAACTGAGTGGTTTACTTAGAAGTATTCACTTATATCTATATGCAGACTCAAAAGCCATGGAATCTTCACAACATCGAGTCTTACTAACAGCGTCATCTTCGGGTAGTGGCACTAGTTCTCGCGTCACGCGATCACGTTCACGTCTAACTGATGAAGCGCAGCATGATGTTTGGCCTACTGCTACCATGCGCAGATTTCTTGTTGATGCAGAGAATAGTGATTCTACTGATAATGATGCTAATGAGGATGATGATGCTTATCACGATGCTGCTTCTTTTGGACAATCGAATGAAGAAGATGGGGTAATTTATAATTATTTCAAACGAGTTGTTAAATCTTTGTTTATTTCAACTTGCGAGATATGATTAGTAATTTGGATATATTTTTACTAATGCGTAAATAGTGAACAAGGGTAGGTATTCAGTCATACTTATTATTGCCAAAAACTGTCCGGTTAAGGGTTTAGAATTTATGGAAATTTAAGCTACTAGCTGGAAATAGCTATATCAAGCTTACATGAACATTTTATTAACCTTTAAGAGATTTAACTTACATAGTTAAGGTGAATTATTAGAGATTTATTATTGGACATGAAGTTATTGTACTCATGAGTGCAAAATTGTTTTCAGAAGCCATCGTTTCATGATGATCGTGTGCCATTAGTGCCTTCTGACTTCACCTCCGTTGATGAAGCGTTGCATAACTTTGTAACTGTTTTTGAGGCTAGGTAAGTTTTTATCATTTTAACTAATACCCTGTAATTTGCTTCATTATAAATTTTGCTGCTGTAAGAAGTGATTAACCGATAAAGTTAAAGTCTTCCTGTCTGCATGCGGTATGTAGATGAGATCGCATTACATGCAGAAATAATTGGTTACTATGTTTATTATGCACTTATTTTTTATATTTTTAATTTATCACACAGATAAGATTTGCTAGATTCAGCGTTGATGAGTTTGGCGAAGTGTGGTACTTACAATATGATATGACCATTAAAAAAGTGCAGAATGCAAATCATAGATTTCAGAATTAGGTAAACTAAATTTAATGTAATATTTTTTCTGAAACTGAACTCATGCTTGATGAATGCATATACAGGTACGGTGGAAATCACCCACCTTTCTATTCTGGTCCTTTGCAAGATGCTTTACGTGAAGCACTGGAGGCACCAGGGCGGCCAGTTGCAGAGCGTCGACCACTTGCCGTTTATCTACATAATGATCGTGCCGTTGCGTGCAACATTTTCGCGAAAAATGTTCTTTTTTATTTTATTTATTTTTATTATTATTATTATTTTTTTTTTTTTGTTGTTCATTTTAACAAAAATTTCTAATAAAAAAAGTGCTTTCCATTGTTCTGTGCATTTTCATATCTCATTTTTTGTGACATAAAATATATTATTCCTTGAACAGATTACTCATGCTTGCTTTGGATTCCTGAAAAGTTGTTCCATTTGTCATTTCATGCTGTGGAATTTCATGGGGTATTATTTTCAGGTACTTTGTTCGGGATTGGTTTCATCGCTTCTCAAAGGGCAGTTTATAACGTGGCCTTGGGATATCACACAAAAGGAGAATAGGCTTAAATTGTTTGAGTGGATCGATGTGTTGAACGTCCGCGACATAAGACAAACGCTGGAAAAGTTCAATTTGGCCTTTGCTTTAAGCTTGTCATGATATTATAGCCCTGAATGTTGAGAAAATTTAAAACGATATCATAAGTTCTAGCTGAAATGGACTCTGGTTGAATTTAAACGGATAAATTAGTTATAAAGTGAAATATTTTATTCAGATTTTCTGATGAACGATTCCCCTTGCTAGTGGTTATTATCAAGGAAAAAAGTGTCATCTTACCAATAAGTGTCGCTTGGGGTAAGTCACATGCTTTAAATGTCATAGTTTATAAATGTCCTTCAGTCATTCATATCCTTGAAATTTCAATAATTTGGAGTATAAAGATATATTTGCTTGGTAGGGTGCGATGGACCGGAACAAGTAGTGAACAAACTGATGGAAGGATTGGAGGAGTATCAACGTATCAAAACTGCTGAAGCTGCTGAAGAAAGAGAACGCTTTGAAAGGTGAAGCACTCTTCTTCTCATGTATATATACATGTAATTTTTCCTATGCAATTGAAACAAGACGATGGAATAAAGATCGTTAAAATAACCACTAATTAATGTTCTATAAAGGGATCTGATTTTTGTTTTAAGGGAAAAAATACGAGAGGAGCAAGCAAGAGAATATGAACAGTCGCTAGCACAGGATAGAGCTCGTCAGGAAAGACTTGAACGTGAAAAAAATGAGCGGAAGTAAGTTGTTTCATTTGTTCTCGTTAAAGACATTGAAATAAATTTAATGTCACTGTTTTTTAAATGTTGTTCCTGTCAATAATGGTGCACTGAAATGAAGATAAATTGTAGGGCTGAAGAAGAACGTCGAGCAAAAGAAGAACAAGACAAGACAAAGCGTTTGGAAGAATTAGCAGCAAGTTTGCCAATGGAACCGGCAGCAGATGAAACAAATATTGCAGTTGTGCGAGTTCGTTTCCCGGATGGAAAAATGCAGTTGCGAAGGCAAAAATTTCCGAAAATAAACTTTACTATACTGAGAACATTCATTGTATAAACCACACATTTTATGTCTGAAAAGATTAAAGGCTCCTAAGATGGAGAGTGGGATGCAGTAAGAACATGTCCTATAGTTTTATCATGTTATAGGTTGACTCCAGTTGATTGGTCATATGTAACAATCCCTATCTTTTTAACGCAATTAGTACCTTTAACGAATGTTATTTCAGATTTCGCATGAGCGAACCGCTTCGTAATGTAACGATCTTTGTTGAATCAAAAGGATATAGTTTAGATACACATCGAATTTGGACCTCAGATGTGCCAATGAAAAATGTGGTATATTGTTAGAAAAATCTTCTCTTTTTATACTTTTTGGTTGAAGTTAAAAGTTTGATGAAATAGAATGCTGGTGCAATATTTCAATGTTCTGAAGCCTTTACAATTCATGTTTAATCCGTTTTTACGTGACGTACTACTTTCTTGTAAACTTATTTTCTTTGACTTCAAATTATGATGATGTTTCCATAAATTTGTTTTCATGGAATGAATCTATCATTTGCAGGTAGAATCATATGATCTCAACCGTTCATTAGCTGACATTAAATGGCCGGTTCGTGAGCAGATCACTGTGGACGAGAAATGAATATAGTGAAGTGACAGCATTCGGTAATGTTAGAATTAGGTCTCCATTTCTCAAAGTTTAATGAAATTTCTTATTTAGGATGTTCACCTGCCTCCTATTGCATTAGCAATGGTGTAGTTACAGCAATATAATTAAAATCAGTAACAGTAATACAGCATTCAGTATGTGTAAAATTTGCTAGAAATTTTTATACACATGTTTCTTTCATTTAATGTGGTTTGAAATTCAATAGTTTTAGGTTTATTTCTAAAGCTCTTTTTAATATGATGCCTTTGAAAAGCATGCATTTTATGCTTTTTTAATTCTTATAACGAAATTTATTTAATTAGTAGACTTTAGCAGCTTTCGTATCAGTTTTTTCAAGGACTAAGTAAGTGTTGCTCCTTTTTGCAGACCACTTGAAAAATTTTTTTGTTTTTTTTTTTTTTTATAAGCAGATTTGTTTTTCCCGTAAACCTTTTATGTTCATAAAAGCAAGATAGTATTTGTAGTTTTTACCATCATCGGTGGTTTCTATATGACCAATTAATGGAAAATAAATAATGTTGTAAATAAAAAAAAAATAGTAAAGCTTTAGGTGCTATCCGGGAAAGAATTCTTAATGTCGAGATAACCGGTAGATTACAAATCACTAGAAAGTGAACTTATCATGTCACAAATTGAATTACCCATTCCTACTTATCACTTCATATAAGCTCTTTTGCATCATCACTGTATTTGAAATGGGAGCATTCCTTCAGGTGCTATCCAGAAATGAATCTTTAGTTTTGATCCTCTGCATGTTAAGAAAAAATTCCTAATTATCATCCCACACGGAACTAGAAGTGGTTTCTCATTTCATATTCTGATTATCTGATTACTTGATTCAATTATGTACTTGCCTAATTCTTAAGAGGTCTCGGTGCGTCAAGCAGTAATAAAAGATAACGCTTATTAGTCGGTATTGTCTTATTTTACTGACTTTTAATCCTCTGTTATTGTTTTCACGGTCCTTTTTTCATCCTTTATCAATGTTTTTGTTTTCGTATTTTAATTTTTTAGCTATCTATTTGCCCACAGTTTGAGTATGTTGACGAATGTACTGTTTATAAATGATTCATTCATCCGTGGTCATCATTGCTTATATTGTTTAAAAGTAAAGTGTATGTCTTTCAATGGTTGCGAATAAGCTCTCTTTATACGGACATACTTATATTTGTATACTAGCCTTTTCATCCCGTCTGATTTCAAAGTTATGGTCTTTCTTTGACCTGAACGGTAATTTTATGGATGAACTAATTTCACTAACTAAATAAACATAAATTGATGTAAATAAATACTTTCCGTCCTATATTTCAAATGCATAAAAATAACGAAATATTAATCAAAAATTGCCGATAATACAATTTCTCGATAATTCTTTATGATTGCTATCAAATAATCACTAAAAAAATTTCAGTGCAATATTTTCTGCTTTTATTTACTTTCTGGACATAATAAATATGATGAATAAATGATTGTAATTTAATTCCTATCAGAAATATGCAAATTTATCAGCTAGTAAAAAAGATTCGCATACATAATAACATCATTTTTGCTTAAAAATCATTTAAAAATACACTTCGATGAATTTATTTTTTATTTCACGCTGTATTGGTTTACTCTTAATGCTTATTGCATCGATACTATTTTGCTATATTCCGTATCGTCGTTTAGCCGTTATTAAAAAGAAACTTGAAGATATAAGTGATACACATATTTATTATATGGATCTATTAAAATATTTGTTTAATCTAACAAATTGCAAGCAAATATCATGGAGCACATGGAATCAATGTACAACGGAGCAGCTAAATAGAAGACGTCAACGCGAGCTACCATTTGCGAATTGTCAACTAGTATATGAAAATATGTCATGTGATTGTCATCTTGAATTAATTGAAGATATTCAACAGATCGATGAGAATTCCTATATTCATTATGGATGTATTCCAGATTTTAATCAACAATTAATTATATTACCAGTTAATGCAACAATTGTTAATGTTACTACTACCAGTAATTTATCAGGAATAATTCTTAAACCATGTATTACTCGTACAACAAACCAAAACATCGTTAAAGCACAATAATAATATTATTATTAATGCTATTATTATTGTCATTACTATTATTATTATTATTGCTATTGTTATTATTAGTAGTATTATTAATGATTATTATTATTACCACCGTTTTTTAATTTATTATTCGCTAAAAATAAGCAATCCTTCTGATAAATTAATAATATTACTGTAAACTGTCCCTACTTGTTTCCTTTTTATAACCAATTTGTATTGCATATTTTAATGTTAATTATTTCCGATAAAGTTTTACATAAATTGTTGACTTTTTACATATATGACTACTTAAAAATTCTCAAAAAATTATTGCTTAAAAAATATTTATTATATTAAAATTGTAATAATCTATTATTCTTGTAATATTTGTCATATATACGTGCGCATAAAAGAAAAAAAAGAAACGTAAACAATGTATAATGTGTGCCGTGTAAAACACAATTTTTTTTTTTACATTAAAAACAACCATTCCATTATTTTCGTTTGCAAATTTCTTTTTTTATTTTATTTTAAATTATGCAAATTTTCAACGTTTAAAAATATATTATATATTTAACAAAATATCATTTTGTACTTTTATTACGCTGCATTCATTTTGATCGATTATAGCATTGATGTATAATTTACGTCATAAAAAGGCACCAATAAGTGATACGTGTGAAATTAGAGTAAAAAATCCATCAAGTTTATGTCAAATTTTTGCAAATTTAACAAATCACATAATGCATGATGGAATAATTTGTAAGCTTAATCAACGAGCAACAGAATATCAACAATGGATTTTTGATGAACAAAAAAAAGCAGAAGAAATTTTAAGAGAAAGGTAAAATTGAAAAGATTTTTTTCCTAGCTTTTTCTTTTTTTTTTTCAAAAATGCTATTGTTTTTTTTAAAATATATGTTTCTTTTCTCTTTGCTTTAAATGTATGTGTTTATCATATTAGACATCAAGAATGAGGAATGATAAGAATGAAAAGGAAAATGAATTCAAGATAGATCAGAAATAGTTTGAGTAGAAGAAAAGAAACGAAGTGAAAAAAAATTTTGTTTCGGAATATTAAGAATGAAATTAAAAAAAGTTAACAAAAAATGTAGTGCTTTGCATAATTTTGACACACAGTATTGTACAAATCATATTTGATTAATTGTATTAATTAACTAATTATTCAATTATGTATACTCATAATTTTTACAAAAAATGCTAACAATTTATGAGATTGTGATTAATATCATCAATTTCGCTGTAAGAAATCATCTTGGCTAAGTTGCAGTGATTATGTTGTGCCAAGAATACGAACACGAATTAATCCTTGGCCAAATGATTTTCGTATTCTTCTCAAAATGGCGAATGAAAATGAGAAAAATGATAAAAATGAAAGATGTGACACAATTAATAAATTAACCGAATTAGAGTATAAATTTATAATGTTGTTTAAAATTTAAAGATTTGTTAGAACAATTTTATTCATATTTCAGATGCAAATCTTTATTGTCTTTTGAAAAAAAAAAAGATTCTTAAAGTTAGATATGAGTTAGTTTTTTTTTTTTTTTTTTTTTCATAGCAAATTTGAAATTTAAATTAGTATTTTCATTTGAAAATGAAAAATTAATTATTTACAGGATACATTTTCCATCTAATTTATTATCAAAATATTTAAGGATGAATTCATTATTATCCAAAATTAATCATACTAATAATGCATCTCATCTATCAGCTGCAGTACTATTTTTAACTATTATTAATTTATGATATTTTTTTTTCTGCTAATTAATTAGTGATATAAAATTCAGATCAATTGTCAATACTATAATTTTTAATATCTATCATTAATTAGTTATATCTTAGTTAATTAAACATTTGATTATTTAATACTCATTTCGTTTAACTTTAATCCATTTGTTATACTAATTTTAATTATGCTTCGACATCTAAAGTATGTATTTCCTCTATAGATAGCAACAGGTGTTCGTGATTTTTGCGCCAAACGAACAGCTAATGCAGTTTGTAAAAAAAGGCAAATACTGGAAGCAGTTGCTGAAAAAACACGAAAGTAATTATAAATTTCACAAAAATGAATAAAAAAAATAAGAATTTATTTCTAATTATTTAATTTATTTTTTTATAATTATTTAAATATGTAAAAAAAGGAAAAGATGAAAAGAATGTTGTAAATAAATTAGATTACGAGAAGATAGTCATCGTCGAGTGAAGCAACGTAAAATACAACTTGAAAAAGAAGACGAAGAAAAACGAAATGAATCATCAATTAAAATTAAACAGCAGGTAATAATTAATTTTGTGAAGAAATTTGCTTAAACTTTTACTTAATATTTATTAGATACGATTATATGAATAAAAATTTCTTTTGTAATTTATTGTAATTTATTAGAAATGATTACACCGATAAGAATTTTCTGGGTAAATTATCACATTCATTTTGCATTAAATTATTTTAGATTGTTTTTTCAAAAACTTTTCCTATGCGTTATTTTAATTTCACTAAATAAAATGTTAATTATCTCACAAACTAATTTTTCAGCATATTTGAACTTTCAGATTTTTTCAGAGAGTCACATAATATTAGGTTCATATTATCTAATAATTTTGCGTTTATATCACATAATTTTAGGTTCATATTATCTAATAATTTTACGTTTATATCACATAACTTTAGACTCATGCAATAATTTTACGTTTAGTACCACACAAGTACCAAAAAAAAAAAAAAAAATTTAATTAAAATTTGTTTATTGTTTTCTTTTTTGCACAAAATAAATAGCCACTGCTTATTTATTTTTTTTAATGTATTTATTGATGGATATATGTCTTAAAATCATTGAAGGCTATAAAAATCATTTCAAATAGAGGACGCAAAGTTCATGACCTACCTGGCACACCTGTTGCTAAGCGTACGAGAAATGCTCTTGGTTTAATGCCAATTGATAAGCGACTTTGTTGCAGAGGAACGGTAATGGAGAATTTCCTCAATTATGCTACTATTTGTAAAACTGAAGAGAAATCCATAAGTGATTAGCATCATATCGTATATTTAATTGATATGATATGATATAAGTAATCGATGCAATCGCTTTACTTTAAATTTAACATGCTGATTTTGATAATAATTCATTTTCCATAAATGAAGAAAAAATTTCCTTTTATATGACTAACAAAAAGAGTTTCAAAATAGGAAAATGAAAAAATTGCACCAATGAATGCTATGAAAGAGCGCCGAAAACGACGAATTAAAATGACAAAGAAGGCCGAAAAAAAAGTGATAAATTATTTCTTGTCACAATTCAGCGAAACAACAACAATAGTAATAATAATAAATAAATAACATTAATAAATGAAACAAAGTTTCCTTTAGCAATTTCAATTATATAATATAAACAAAATTCTTATATCATAAATTTCATTTACTTAAATTATTCTGCACTATATGTTCAATTAAATTTGATTAATTAAATGTTTCTAAAATACTATTCATCTAAATACTTTTCTAAATTAGAAAAATTCTGGTACAAAGAAGTTAAGTGACAATTTCCATTAATTATGTTAGTTTTGAACATTTTGAAATAAATTCTGAAAAATCCAAGGTATTTAAATTTATGTTAAACTTCAAAAAAAATATATTATACCTTAGAACATATCAGCAAAAAAGCTTAAAATTTACTCCGCTTTTTTGATTGTTTGTAAAACAACTTAGGAGTAAATTTTTTTTTAGTTATAAAAATTGACAAAATATCTAATATCCATAACAACTACATTTCATCACTTAAAATTAGTAATGTAATTTCAGGAAGCATTTCATGATGATAACAGCAATCATTTATCTACTACACTTCATAATGATAATGAGGATTACTTATCTGCCACTTTTCATGAGAAGCATTTATCAACAACTGGTGCTAATCAAACTGCTTGTATCAAATCCAGTCCGGAAATAGCAATATTATCCGAACTTGAAACTGCTATTTCCAAAAAATCTAATACGGAAGAAATATTTCCGTCCAAATTTAACTGCAACACACCAAGAATGAATAATTCATCAGACACATTAACTGCGATTTCCAGTCCTGATAAACATACGAAACAGAGACATACAGGTATTTCGCGTATAGACGCATCAAAATCACGTGATACGTTGCGAGTTCACACGTCAGAAAATTCAACAAGTCAAAAAGATGCTGTTGATACTGATGCTAATAATTCATTATCAAAAAGATCAACATCATTAAATACGGCATCAATTTTGGAACGTACACGTCCTGATGATAAAAGTGTTGATATCACTCAACGATCAACAAATGCGACTCATCGAGATAAAATTGATAGCGATGATAACACAATACATAATGATATTACAAAACGATCAACATATTTCATTCATGATTTAAAATGTGAACAAAATATTATCAGCAGCGATGATAATAATGACAGTAATAGTCGTAATAATGATGATTTGCGTGTAATGTCAATGGATCTAAAATCATCATCATGTCAGTCAAAATCGACAACAATGCATGCAGATGATGATAATGATGATGATGATGATAAAGTAAAACGTATTGAAGAGAAGCGTGGAAAAGTGACAAGCACACGATTTCCAGGACGAAAAACGTTAGATGAGTTGGAAAGACAAGAGTTATGTTGAATTAATAATTAATTTGTTGAATCAATAAAATAGCGTAAATTTTGTTGCAAAACTCTATTATTATTATTTATTATTGTTATTATTATTATTATTATTATTATTATTATTATTATTATTAATTATTATTATTATTATTATTATTATTATTATTATTATTATTATTATTATTATTATTATTATTATTATTATTATTATTATTATTATTATTATTATTATTATTATTATTATTATTGTAAGTTAAATGCTGTTTTACTTTACAATGCACAAATTTGTGAAAATTTTTCTTTTTTTATTTACTTCTTTAACTTTAAATTCTTTTTATTTATTTTTATATTAGAGAATCGATACTAACGGCAAATGAATCATCTAATGGTATAACGAAAAAATCTAAAACTGCGTAAGTAAATCAATCATTTCTACCAATGTTTAATTTAGTAATATTAATAAAAATAACATAAGTTTGAAAAATAAAATAAAATTTCTAAATAATTTTTAAATGAAAAATTTTATTTTTTCAGTGTGTAGTATGAAAATATTGCAAAGAATGTAAATACTTTTTAGAATATGTCATTCAGCACAAATTAAGAGAAAAAATGATTTGGAAAATGATGAAATTTACAATTTATCATCTGGTGATCCAACTGATTACACTGAAAAGCCAAGCCGAAAAATCCCATTTTGGGCTAAAAGTTACTTTTACAGAATAAAATAGATTTTAAAAAAAGAAATGAAACAAAAAAATTAATTTTTTTTTGACAAATGCAATACGGATTTAATCACTAAGAATTTTAATAGTATTTAGAAACGATACAGAAGAGTAAGTTTAAAAAAAAATCTAAAATGTAATAATTTTGAAATGATTTGATAAATAAAATCTTAATTATTTTATATTACATTGCTCTTTTAATTTGAACACCTCATTTAATAAATATGCCTAACAATTTTTATTACACTTTTTTAATCCGTTCCAAATTTTTTAAATCATCAGTTTTTTTATTTTTTATTGCAGAACAAAATTTACAACAAATTCTTATCAAACAACAAAAATGGTCCATCCATGATATTGATGCTCTATTTGGTAAAATTCATCCGCCTGATATGCAAAAAATGTTTGGTGATAAGATGCTATCAGCAACGCGCAGCTCATCAGCAATCTGGGAGTCACCAATTTGGAATCCACGTGTCGGTTATAGCGCTTATCATATGACATTTCAACAAATTGAAAACGACAATAACATTCGACGATCACAAAGAGCAAAAAAACTTGTCTCTTATGTTACATATTTCTGATTATTCTCTGTGAGACAATACAAATAATATATGGTAAATAAACTTACTGATATGATAAGAATTTACAAGATGAATTGCACTTGATAATAAAATTATTCCATGGTTTTTCTTTCCTTTTTTTAGATAAGGCAATGAGACAATTTTGGATTTAAATTACTGTAATTTTCATTTGTAACTTGTTAAATGATGTCATTATTCGATTTAACATATATAATGATACAATCTTTTTTGATTTTTAATAAAAAACAGAGGTGTAAAAATTATATATTACAGTATAGTTTGCATACTTTTATTATAATTGTCACTGTTATTATTATTTTTATTATTGATTGTTTGCTGTTAACTCGCACATATATGTGAAAGTACAAATTAGAAGAATAATTAGTTATGAAAATATTTGACAACGAAGGAAGAAACCCTACAATATACCATTTCTTTTTCATAAAAAAAAGAGAAATGCTAATATAAGGTTAAAATTTCATTTTATTTTACATTTAGACTATAAAATCTTATATTACCAACTCTGAAATAAATATAAAAGTATAACTTTGCATATAGACTATATTTTCTATTTCTTTAGCAACCTTCTTGAATTCATTCATAAACATTTTTATTGTAAAATTTACACAAATTTTTTTATTGAGAAATCTTTTCATCCAATAATTTTGCCTCCTATAAAATTTTCTTTTAAAAAAATTGAAATTTCTTTTTTTCTTTCCCTTTTTGATTATATGTGCTTTTATTATTTTTGCTACTATTTAATACTACTATTTCACTGCACATTGAACACAACAAAACGTAAATTATAGAAAAAAATGCAAAAAAAAGAGAAATTTAATATAGTAATTAAATTAATATTTCACTAATTAAATATTATGTTTGTATATTTTAGCTTAACATTTATTATGAATAAAAAAACACTTCGAAAATTGCATATTTGTTTTTTCACTCTTTTAAACAATATAAAACATATCAATAAAAAGATAAGAAAGCGACAGAGAGAAAGAGAGAGAGAGAAACCAATTAGTAGAAAAGAAAGGCAAAAGAGAAAATTTGGTTAAATTATACAATTTACCTTTCAACATAAATACTCATTTGCATTATATGAAACAAATTAAAACGAAAAAAACAAGTTCAAAGAAAAAATAAAAAAGCACTGTATATTACATTAATTTCATAATTTATTCATTAATTATAAAATTCAAGCATTTTTTAAAATTTATTACAACTAAAGTAAATATAAATTTAACTTACTGCTAAAATAATCACATATTATTCAATTGAAAAAAGAAAGAATATTGCAAATGCAATTCAATAATGACATAAAAATAAAAACCTATTGATAATTAAAGTTTATGATACTATTTGAACAAGCATATCTGTCATAACTCTGTTAATTAGCTTAATTTTTTAAAACTATTTAGTATTAACTAATCGATATATCTCAATTTCTAATCAAGAAGAGATAAATAATAATTATTAGTAAATTAAAATTGTAAGATTTGGAAAAATTTTTTAAATCTTGATTTGATATTACAAATATTGCATCCTTAACCTTAAAAAAATTGTTTATATAAAAATTTTTTCCCAAGATTTTAAAAGCGAAAAAAGCACTGAACTTGCTAATTTGTTACAAACGAAAAATCAAATTGAACTATTTTGAAAATGTTAAGATGAGCATAACTTTGAGTGATTGAAAAAATTGTAAAATGATAAAAAAAAAAATTACATTTTTTGATGCTTAAAATATTTAATTAATGAGCAGAGAAGTTTAAACAAAAAAAAAAATGAAAATTGGTACAATGAATGAGTATCAAATATAATTTGCCCGAATTTATAGTTTGTCACAATTGTACAAAACTTATAATTATAAAATATAATACGTCTATTAAAAGGAAATAAAAAAGAAAAAAAGGATGAGGATGAATGAAAAAAAGAACCGTAAAATACAAATGTTTCGAATATTCGTCTATAATAAAATTATTTCAACAACATTTAAAAATACTACTTACTAATTAATTAAATATGCACCAATTTTAATTTATCGCAATTTAGATATAATTCATTCATTTCACATAAATGTAATACATATTGAGTATGTACAATGAAAAATGAAGCTAATTAAATTAATCAAATGTTATTTTATTATTTTTATTTTGTTTATTTTATTGTAATACTATTCATTTGTGGTTATTATAAAAAAAGGAATTTTCCAAATGAATAAATAATTGAATTATTATTGAATAATTAGCTTGTGATTAGAGTAAAATTAATGATGACAGTTATACAGTCCTTCTCTTTGAGAAATGTTAATTCATTTGAATTTATAATTAATGAAACATTTAACTAAACAAATAGTCATTTATGATAGCAGCATAAGATGAATGTATTAATTAAGGTCTCTGAAACTTTCATCTTTCAAAAGTGAAAGTTTCATCTAAAATTTGTTCACAAAAAAAAGAAAGAGAAAAGAAAAAAGGTAAGTAATAATTTATTAATAATCTTCAAAACTCAAAAATTTATTTGAATAATTTCAAAGTGAATTTAAGCGAATTTTGAAAATTATCATGGAAAAATTACAAAATTACAAAAGAGTCAACGATAATCTAATCATTATTGTTGCTTTAGTTTCATTTTTCATCGTTTTCGATGTATAATTTTAATTTTAAAGCATATGAATTATTTATTGTTCACTATTTATTCTTCTATGATTATTCGTTTTTTATTTTTTGAAATTATAAATTTACATCTAAAAATTTTTCTTTTTTTCATTAATTTTTAAGCTTAATTCATTTCAATGATGGATTAATTAGTTTTATTACTATTAATCATTATGAAATAAAAAAAAAGGATCATATACAATTTAAGTGAGCTTTAATTAAAAATCAAAAAGACGACTAACTTAAATTTTTTGTTTCACTTAAATTATGTCTCAAATTAATTGTCAAAATCGTTTATGAAGAAAAAAAAGAAAATAATTGAAATGGGTTTAAGTTGTAAACTTTCAAAACACACATTTGCACTTACTATATGCTACTTATACCATTATATTAAATAAAATTAAAAAATAAAAAAAATTTAATTAATTAAGAAAACGACAGAAATAAGTGCACACAAAAAAAACTGTTAAAAATTTAAAAAAAAGCATTTCGGCACTTTACATCATATAAAATAATCTAAAGGCGGAAAAAAAAGAAAACAACAAAAAAAGGTAATTTAACCTTTAACAATGTTAAATTTCCTAATTTTATAATTAATTTTCATTTTTGTTTATTATCCCTGCATCATTTGTTTCATTCTTTATTTTTTTTCTTTTCTTTTCTTCGCTTTTTTCTCTTTTTTTTTTTTAATTTTTTTTTTTTTTGCTACACTTACAATTTAAAATTTAAATTTTATCTAATTTATTCGCGCCATTTTGTTAAATCAATTTGTGAAATTGCTGAGCATTGCGTCAAACGTCCTTGTGGTATTAAAAATGCATCCTGTGAAACGCTACCAAATTGATCACCGTTATTGCAAATAATACTAGCTAATGTGACCTTTCGAAGTTCGGCTAATTGAGCTGAAGTAAAAATGCCGGGGTTCTCGTAATAAAACCTATAAAATTTATCCAAACAATAAAATTGATTATTAAAAAAAAATAAGAAAAAAATCAAAAATATTAAGGAAAAAAAGACAGATAAATAATGCAAAAATTGTATTTTTGCTTTGAAATAATTAAATTTTAAACAAAAAAAAAGAAAATATTCGAAAGCAATTGGCTTTGATTTATGACAAATAAAACATTTTCGACAATGTTATTATAACAAAGAGTGCGGAAGAGGCCAAGAAGTTCAGTGAAAAAACATTGAAAAAAACTAAGGAAAGCCTAAATAACTAAACAAGAGAGAGAGAGAGAGAAAAAAAAAATGAAGATAATTCGATAGCTCTGCTAAAATTAAATATGCATATTTTTAATTATGCAATTATTAAAAAGAAAAAAAATTTTAAATATTTAAAATTTTCCAAACTTAATTTCTCGTTTTTAAAAGATAAAACAAAAAAAAGAAGGATAAAATGCTAAAGATGGAAGAGAAGAAATAAAAAGGAAAAATAAGAATTATGAATGTAATAAAATTTTGAAATAAAAATAAACAAAAATTTGAATTAAAGCTGAATAACTTAAATTTCAATTCTTTCTTTTTTTTGCCAAATATATAAAGAAGTTAAAATTTAAATTACCTGTCACCATCACGTAATCTTTTAAATTGATCACCAATTAGACAAGCTAATGTTGTACCAACTAAACCACCAATAACTGGATCTTCAACCATTGAACCAATATACAAATCAATATCATCTATGGTATATTACTATTATTTTTAACTCTTTCCTTTTTTTAGAATTAATTTTTAATAATTTCAAAAAAAAAATAGATGAAATGCCATTATAAAAATTAAATGACAGAGATGAAATAGAGAAGAAGTAATAAGTAAAAATAAAAAAAGTTAAGAATATAATGAAATTTTGAAATAACATAAAACTAAGTCAGGAAAAAGTAAAACTTAAATAAAATAACTAAAACGATATCAAAGATTTCACATAAGAAATGATCATCACAATTGTAGAAATTAATAATCTTTAAAAATTTAGTAATTTTATATGATCTAATTTTGTTGAAAATTTAGATTATGAGCAAAAACTTTTATTAAACAAATAGTAACAGCTAAATTTTCTCGAATTTTAATGTAAAATAAACATAAATTAATTGAGTTACAGAAAACTTAAAAAAAATATTTAAATCAAAATTTTCGTGCATTTATGAAAGGTATATAATATCAAAAAAATAATTACTAATTTACTCAATAAGTAATCAATAAGTTGAAAAGGATAGAAGAAGAAGTAGAGAGAGAGAAAGGGAGAAAGAGAAAGAAAAAAGAAAAAACATGAAACTTACCAACTGTTTTATAAGTTTTTGATAAACCAAGACGTATATTTTTATCTAAAATTTCATTTTTTAAATCATCAAAATTATTCGCTAATGGCATTCCACAAAAATGTCGCCATTTATTAAAGGATGGTAATCCATGATCACGTCCACGTTGAATATTGACAGATCCAAGATCGGTGCTTAATTATAATTTATTATTTTCTGACAGAGAAAGAAAAAAGAAAGAAATATTTGAAGAAATGCTGCAATTTGTGATAAATGCGAAAAAAATTAGAAGCAAAATTATCAATTAATAATAATCAATTCATGATTTATTAGTGATAATTTTGATAATAGCAAAAACAATTTTCTTAATTTAATAGTTTTGGTAAATAAAAAAAAAATTTTTCTTGAATAAATTTTTTTAGAGGTAAAACATTTACCTTCCAAACATTTTTTCAGTGATTGATTTACTCATACGATGAGGACGTTTTACAGGTGTCATCATAAAACCACGTAGAATTGGATCAATTCCACCTTCAAATAAAATTTTCCCTGATTTGAAAACACCATCACCAAACAGGAATCCACCATGACTAATATTATTTCCGGTAAAGTCTAATCGTTGATAAAATTCCTGGAAAATATCAAACAAAAAGAAAAAAGAGGGATAAAATATTAGTGAAAAATAACAAAATAAAAATATGCTAATAATTAAAATGGTAATTTAGCAATAATTTCAATTAATAACATATTAATGTAGGATGTAATGCAAAAATCAGACGTGCAGTACATATGCCATACGGTAATTAATTTTTTAATTAGATTGAAAAAAATTATTTACTTCATCATTCAAAAATTATAAAAATATACATAAACGATGTAAATATATATACTGGTGACTAATTTTTTTTTTTTTTTTTTTTTTAAATTTAATTATTATAACAAACCTGCAGCATTCCATGTCCAAATCGATAAGCTGAAGTGGTAAAAACATTTGATACGGTAGGATCAATTTTTGAATTATAGCCTTTATAAGGGCCAATATGTTTATCCATAGTATTGCCCAGAATTTTGGGCAAAAATTCATTATAAGTTATTACTTGTATTTCAGCACCAACAATTTTTCGTGTTTCCTGGAATAAGCGGTCACCGGCCCAATCTGGATTCAATTTTTGCAAAATTGTTGCTATCCTAAAATAAACAAAAAACAAAAACGAAAAAAAAAAAAGTAAAAATAGAATTCGAAAAATTTTATTTTATGTGATCATAAATAAGTAAAAAGTAAGAAAAAGAAATGATATGAATGATAAAAAAAATCATTAATTTCAAATATTATTTTTTAAAATATTAAAATATCTCTTCCTTTTAAAAAGTTTTAAATTACTTTAAAATGCGCAGAATGTAATTGGAAAAAAATTTTTTTAATATGCATCTAATTATTTAATTTTGTTAATAATATGATAAAAATAATTAAGTAAATTATAAAATGACATAAAGCAGTGATAAAAGCATCCACATATATTGAAATTATTACATATTATAATACCAATAATCGTTAAAATAATTACAAAGCAGAAGAAAAAAGTGAAAAGAAAAGATAAAAAATAATATTATAAAAAAAACGAATTAGTAAAAATTGAAAATTTACCTGTTATGCTCTCTTGTAAATAAAATATGAACAGATGATAAGCCAATGAATAAATTAACACGAATATCACCTGCTGTAAATGTTGCCGTACATTTTTGTGGTGAGCTACATTTTGATTGATCAAAAGGTAATACCTATAAAATCATTATAATACTTTTTAATAATTTCAACAAATTATTATGATCATATTATAGTTTAAAATTTAAATAAATTAATCCATATTATGAAATTATTACATATTATAATAGTAATAATCTTTAAAATAAATAATAAACAGAAGGAAAAAACTAATATTACAGAAAAAAAAAATAAATTTTTTCTTTCTTTTCCTAAAACTTCTTATCAAAACAAAGCAAATAAAAAATTTAGAAATAAATTTTTTAATCGCAAAAAAAATAAATTACATTGTTACGGAATTTTTTTTTAATATTTTTTACACTATCAGCAATTTTATTTAAATTAAAGTTTTTTTTTTTTTTATCTAATTTATTAAATAATTATTTCATACCATTTATTGGTTGCATATTTTTCTTTTAATTTTTTTTCTTTTGTTTCTTTTTCCAACTTTTTTTTTTTAAAAAAAACATGGAAATTAAATTAGTTAAAAGGTCAAATCTATAATTAATTCATGATTGAAATCAACCATCTGATTGTTAAACTTGTTCATTCGCAAGAAACCGGTCCTTGCTTGGCGGAACTTATGCATATCTTTCAGAGATGATCCATACAACGGCGAAGCGTCAATAAATGCTGTATTCTCATTTAGCTGTTCACGTGGTATTCCGTTCCGACCGGTACCACAAATCGGTGACGACCGTGAAACTTTTAAGCATTGTCGTTGCTTAAAGCTGTAAGTATAAACTGTAAATATTCATTACATCATATAGTTGATAAGTGTAGTAGTAAAATAAGAATAATTAATGATGGTAATAATAATATTAATAATAATAACAACAATGATAATGACAGTGATAAAACAATAGAAATGATTGCTATAATATGCTTATGACAAGAATTATGATGATAAGAGATGATAGTGATTGGAGAAAGATAGATGATAACAACTATTTCTCTGCCTTTATGGTAATCATTTTGAAACAAAATTAATTAAACCTTTGAGTTGAAATATTTGATATACATTGCAGCCATCTATCATAATGTTTTACTAATACAATATAATACTTGTTAGTTCAGTAACTTTTTTGAACTTTTAAGTAAACATTTAACAATAACAAAAATAAATCAAAGCGAATATTTGATTAGAAAATTTAGTGATTGAGGAAATAGAATGGATGAGAGCAAAAGCAGTGAATATGAAATTGTAGTAAAAATATTTGATATTATGATTATATCTGATATTATGATTATATTTGGTATTATGATTATGATATTATGATTAGATTTGGTATTATGATTATGATATTATGATTGTGATATATACATTATGATGAAAGTAAGAGCAAAATTATCCTTAGTAATTAATTTGGATTTTTGTTTGAATAAATAATTATTATTTTAAGCAACAAAAATACATTGATTTTTTTTTTTTTCTTTTTTTTGTAATTTTATAATTAATAGAGAGACTGCAGACTATTAGGCTATTTTTATTTTTTGTAATTTCAGATAAAATAATTAATAAAAAGTAATAATTATACTCAGTAAAATATACCATTTTTAGTCATTTTAAAATTATCAAAAGATATTAATTATAATGCAAGAATTATATTATTTAGATTATTACAATTTTTTTAACAAAACAATTATTATTATTTTTTAAGAAATATTTATTATTATCATTGTATACTGCTGACCCAATTTTCAATGCAATTTCATGATAATTTTTCCCTGTTTTTCGTGCCTTATCAATATATTGTTTTCTTTCCTTTTTACTTTAAAAATGAAGTAATAACATTAAGCGATTACTGATCATATCTTTTTTTTCGCTTGTTTTATTAATAAATTGTTTAAGCTTAAAAAATAAATGATTATTTCCAATTTAATTAGAAATTTTCCATATTGTTTTAATTTAATTCTAAGCTATATTTAATCAACTGAATTGGTAAAATAAATGACAGATGAATGACTAGAATATAAATTGAAATATTGAATGAATAATAATAATACAAAGCTTTCCATTGCTTTCTCACTCTCCCTCTCTCTCTCTCATTTCTCTTTCTTTCTCTCCCCTCCTCTTTCTTTTTTATTTATTAGTTGCATTTTTATAAATACTATTTTAAATAGTTATTCATAAAATTATTATGAAAAATGCTATCACAATATATTGCCATACCGAAAAAATTCCAATGAATTCGTAGTTAAAAAATTAAAGCAATAAAAAATATTAAAAAATTATCGTTATCATTTTTTATCATTCTATTATCATTAGATATGCCATAAATATATTAAATGAAATGGAACTGAAGAAGTATAGATATAAAATGCTCCAAAAATTATTACTGATCATTTCTTATCATTCTTTTAACATCAAATATACTTAAATAAAACGGAATTGAAATTAAATAAAATGAAATCGAAAAAAGAATATACGAATACGGAAACGTACGCTTGGTTGCTATCTTTTACGGAAATTGGTATCGGCATGCAAATCGATGGTACCGGTTTACAGGATATGCATTTGGCTGATGGCTGCAAGGTTGTTTTAGCAATATCATGTGACATGAATTGTCCAAATTGCATTACTAATGCATTATATTTATCATGTGGCACACTTTGTGAACTGGATAACAGAACACGTGAAACTTCACGTGCCGTTGGACGTGTAATTCGTATTGAAGCTGAAAATTATAATAAAAAAATTTACAAATTTAGTTAAAACAGAAAAAATCAAAAAAAAGAAAAAAAAAGAAAGAAAGAAAGATTTTGTTAGCAATTTATGGTAAATTAAAATTATGGTTTTTCTTTTTTTTTTTTAAAAAAAAAAAAAACTATTTCAATTAAGTGAAATAACAGAAATGTCACCAATGAAATTTTAATTTGCATAAATTATTGCTTCTATACAAATTAAACACATTACTCCATGTTCAATTCTTTTTTTCCGTTGTTTTGTGAAACAAAAAATAAACAAACAAGGAAAACAAAAAAAGAAAAAAAAAAGTGAACAGAGAATGAAAGAAACGAAAAAAGGAAAAAAGCTAGAAAGATGATTATCACTTCATAATTATCTATCTTATCACTAATGAATTAAATAAGTCAATCTAAAATTTTCCATTCCATTTTGGTGGCGTTGCTTTTTACTAAATTATTCAAATGCCATCAATAATTTTGCTTCATTTAAATCTATTTTTTGAAATTTTAAAAAAAATTAAGCAATAAAAGTGTTAAAATAGCGAAATTTTATCAAAAATAAAACGTATAATATGTTAGAAGATAAGAAAAAAGAATGGAAGGAAGGAAAAAAAGAGAGAGAGTAATGAAAAGAAAAATAAAATTAATGGGGAAATGAAATTAAGTTAACAAAGAAATATGAAAATAATTGAAAAAAATTTAATTTTAATTTTTTAGTAATTTTTCAAATTTTATTTCTGAAAAAAAGAGATAAGAAAAAGAATGTGAGATAGTGAATATTTGATGTTATATCATGATTAAAACTAATAACTATTTCCCAAAATTACTGATAATAATAAATATTAGTTAATAATTTCAAAGCAACAAACATACAAACGGGTTCTGATATCTTATCATCATATTCAGCTGGTAAATGCCTGGAAATTATTTCTAATTAGAATTGTGCAAAGAAAAAATATTAAAAAAATTAAGAATAAAATATGAATCAAAATTTAAAATAAGCAGGAAGTTTTTTAAATTGTCATTAATTCGTTGATCGAATAAATTTTTATTCTTTACAAAGAAAAAAGAAAAAAAGAAGTAATTCAAATTTTTATATCAAATTTCGAAAATTTATTGATCAAAAAATTAATTTAATCTACTAGTCATAACATTTCATGCATCAGAATAATCATATGTTAGAGGAATATATGATAAGAATCATAAGAATATATTAGAGGAATTATCTTCTAATATATGGTATGAAAAAAATATATAAAAAGAATTTTTACGATTCTAATTTTAGTTATTGAAAATTATAAATGATGAAATAATTTTTATAAACAGAAAGAAATGTAATTAATTATTAAATTACCTAAGATATGGTCTAAAAGCTGCACCAAGAAGTGGTTTTTCTAAATTATTGCAAACACCATCAAAACTTCGATACATTAAATGATAACACAATGAGCGAGCACAATCAGTTTCAGTAAGCTAAAAATATAAAATTATTTCTAGTTTTTTTTTTTCCAAATTTGAAATTTAAATTTGATTTTCACCTTTTAAATTAATATTATCTAAGCTATGATTTAAAAAAATTTATCAAATTTGTATCTATTAAAATTACCTTTGGTACACATCCGGTACCAACAGCTCTAGTGATATCATCAATTGATAATAATTTTCTGCTTGATGTATCCTCAACTGATATAATGCGATGATTTCTAATCATATTTTCGGCTAAATTTTTATCAGTTGAATTAATCGTGCTACAATCGACACTACTGATCGGACTAGATAAATGGCCATCTGAAACAAGAAGTTGAAGAATTAGCATGGAATTATGTAAAATAACATAACAGTAGATACATTATAAATGATCATTTCCTTATCAATTATCATTTCTTTTATTCAAATAACTGAATAATTAGTACTATCATATGATATGATATATCATGATAATATCAGAATGAATGGCATATAGTTATGTAGTATTAGCGAATATTATATCATTTATTTACTATCAGTTATTAATTTAACCACTTAGTCAACTTGACATTAAATTTAAATTTGCAAAGGCGCATAATATTTGCAATTCACATAACTGCTTGATAATTTTACTTGTAAATTATATTTATGTATGATATATGATAATTTAACTTTTCTAAAAGCATTTTTAAATATAAATTTTATGCTTATTATTATGCATCAGCATTATTCACCTCGAACTATTTATTTTATAGCCCTTAACTCTCCAAAAAAAAAAAAAAAAAAAAAAACACTTTTATAATTCCATTACATTATCGATTATTTAAAATCAACAAATGTATTTTAAATAAAATAAAAATATTCAAATGTATTTTAAAATAAAATAAAATAGAAAATATTTGAATATTAATTATAGTGTACCAATAAGTGTGACGCACAAAAGTACAATGATTAACATAATAAGTTTTATATCACTGTGCAATTTCATTTTCTTTATTTTTATAATGATAAAAGAAACTTATCAATTCAAGACTCTGATAAATAATTGATAAATTAAATATTATGCTTGTATATATACAATAAATTTCATATTTACTTGTAGTTATCAAATATTTTGTGATAAATAATTCAACAATATATAATGTTAATGATAACTGGAAATTAATAATAGCTCCTTCTTTTTTAATTGATAATGAAGTTGAGTAGTTCATGATAAATGTTATTTTAACACTTACAAACAATCGTTTTAATTGTTTGATAGTTTTTTTTATCTGAGAAATATATACGAACAGTAATTAATGAATGAAATTAATTAAAAAAGGACAATTTAACGTCTGAGTGATATTTCAGAAATTTTCAGGCAATATATGACAAAAATGATAAATTATGGATATTGCCAATAGAAATAGTTATCATTAATTTAATAATTAAAATTAATAATTTTGCTATTAACTATTAACATTTATTTTAGAATTGAAATATTTTTTATGTTATTTTTCTTTCTTCTTTCTCTTGATGCTCAACAATTAAAATTTAAGAATTCGTGAAAAAAATTCAAATAAAATCTAAACTTATTACGAAATGAAAAACAGAGCATTTCCACTCAAATTCGTATTTTTTTCCAAATATCTTACAAAAATTTTTGCATAACTTTGTTTGAAATTAGCACAAAATTGTTTATTTGAAACAAATTTTTAAAAAAAAAATCAAAAGAAAAAGTAATTTTAACAATAAAAAAATTATATATAATAATAGTTTAAGCGAGAAATTTTTATCGTCATTTTTACTTCCTTTAAAATTTATGAACTGCAAAAGAAGAAAAAAGAAAAAAAATGAGAAACTAGTTTTCGACGTATATTTGTTTCAAAACTTTATGCATAACTAATTGTAAATTAAAAATAAAAAAAAGAAGAAAAGATAAAAAGTTTTCATTTCATTTTATCATTAATTTTGGTGATTGTTATTTGTTGTTGTTATTGTTACTATTAACAAAATTAATAATAAAATTTACTGTTCTTATCTGCTGTTTTGCTATTTGTTTTGTTATTAATTGATGTTAATTTTAAATTTTAACATAAATATTAAAATTTAAAATAATATATTTAATTGTGAAAAGAATTACTCAAAAACAATTGGTTGTTGATTTGAATAATTGGTGCTATTTTCAATTTTAATATAAAAATTTCGATAGGAATAAATTTTCATTCGTTTAGAAAACAAAAACAAGCATGCATGTTATGCTAAATTATTATATTACATCATAAAATTTTTGCCCAGTAAAATTACTATAATTTAAAATAATCACTTCTATTTAAAAGGAATTGATAATGGTAATAAAAAATATTATAAAGAACTGGTTAAATTCATTTCAATGAATTCAAATTATAGAGTTATAAAAGTTTCGTAGAAATGGAAATTTTATTGTATTACGGAATGGAAAATTCACATTAATTATAATCATAATTATAATCAATAAAATAAAAATTCAAAATGTTGTTTCCAAAATTATGCCTATCGTAAACATCATTTGCTTATAAATTTTAGACAAATTTTAAAATCATAGTGAAAAAGTGGAAAATTACAAATTCAAAACAAGATGATTGAACATGTCAAAAACATTTTCTCATTCCAAAATTTCACATAGAAAATTAAATTTTTTTGCTTTTGTTCTAACGTTTGTCACATCATACAGTTGAAAAATATTGTAATGAAGATTTGGACATACATTTAATTTTATACTTCATTCACCATTTCAGCAATTTCTCTTTCCTTTTCTTTCCTTGCTATCATTTCTCATTATAATTACTTTTTGATAAAATAAAACATAAATAAAGTAAATAAGCAAATAAAAAATAATTATAGCAAATGAAATTATATTGGTGTTAAATTTTGTTTTTATATTTTGATACTAACATTATTTTAAAATATTAGTATTATTTTTTGTATCATGTATTTTCACTGTTACTATTGTAAACTTAAAGAATAGCAAATTAATTGGATGAATTTTTTTATAATATTTTGATTGAATTGAAAGACATAAATGTATATTAAATTCAAATAGTTTCAGAAAAAACTGATAAAATAAATCTTTTTACTTATTTATTTTTTTTAATGTAAAGATATTATACTTTTATGTTTTATATTTTTTATGGAATCACTTACAAAAGTATTATTTTATTAGTTTTCATTATTCATTCATAATTTTTTTTCTTTTTTTACTTTTACTCATTCATAACTTTTTTTCTTTTTTTAATTAAACAAGGAAAATTTTTTACATTAATATACAAAATTAAAAAATTTTTTACTTCATTTTTGTTAGGTATTCTAAACTTTTTTTCTCAGGAAATATTAAAGTGTCATTTGTTAGTTTATAAATAAATTATCAAAAGAATAGATTAACAATTTTTTTAAATATCAATTTGCTTCGTATATTCTGGCTAAATTGGTCTATTAAAATATTAATAGTATTGTTGTTCAAATATTAAATATCAATAATTTTTATTTAATTTAGCCTAAATTGATTTATTGAAAAAGATATTAATAATAATTATTATTGTTATTATTATTCGACTACCAAACATTAATATTTTTTAAAGTATCAATTCTCTTCACTTAGCTTGGTCTAATTTTATTTATTATTATTATTGTTCGACTGTTAAATGGTAAACAATTAAATAATAGTAGAAATTTAATGCTTTGTTGAGAAGTAAAATGTTCTCCATTCTTTTATAATATATTCATCCTTTCATCTTTGTCGATTTCTACAATAATCGATCATTTCATTCAGACATCATTGTTGTTCATCAATCGTTGATCATTGATTTTCTTTCTAACCATTTCATTAGTTATCATTTTACATCCTTCCATTCAACCTTTCTTTGTCATTTATTCATTAATCTTTCGAAATTTAAGAAAAAAATTTTTTAAACTATTATCGATAAATATAACATTTAAAAACTATGAATAAATTACCTAAAAAAAACGGAAAAATTTCTTCTCAATTAAGAGTATAAATAATGATAATTAATAATATAAATAAATGTGGTAAAAACTAAAAGTTAAAGAATAATAAATAAAGTGTAAAATGAGTGAATAAAAATTATTATCATTATATTATAATAATAGTAATAATAATATGGTGATAACTATTATGAGAGAATTTAATTCATATTTCTTTATAAGAGATGAAAGTGAAAGTTAAAGAAAGGAAATGAAACATTTTGAAAAAATTACAAAGTATAAATAAATCATTTTTTTAATGTTACTTTAATCTTACTATATTATATATCAAATTGATTAATTATTTCATATTTAATTTTATCAAAACTTATTTTAAAAATAAGATTATTTGATATTTTATATTTTCTAATATCAACAAATTACAATCTGTTTTGTTTATGAATAAGAAAAAAATTTTTCAACATTCATTTTTACTTATATAATAATATTACGTTGCATTTTTTCCTTTTCTCAATATATTCATTCATTTCTTTTAATTTATTTCTAAGTTAACAAATTAGCGAAAAAAATCTTTCAATAAAAAAAAATTTCTTATTTCTAATTACTTTGATATTTCTTTTTTTTTTTTGTATTTCTAATAGTACCAAACAAATTTTTTGATATTTGAAATTTCACAATAAAAATTATAATTTATAAATGAACGAAAGAAAAAAAAAAGAATTGACCTTTAATTGATAAAATGTTCATATTAATTTGCTCCAATTTTTATTGTTTACATTTTTATTGTATTGCACATTTATGAAAATTGTCAAAATTAACAAAAATAAATAAAAAAATGATCGAAAAGAAAAAAGAACAAAATGAAAATAAAAGGAAAGAAAATAAACAAATGCGCTATATAAAATAAAAGTGGATAAAAAGAAAAGAACTGATTTTAATTTATTAATAGCAATAATAATGTGTGATGAAAAATCAATGAAATGATGATTAAACTTATTTATTTTGTAATAAATAAGTAATTGGTAACTATTAAATTATTCAGCAATGAAATTTAATAGAACTGCAAAAATTATGAAGAAAATTATATTAATTGCCAAATTATACATTCAATTATTATTTGTTTTATTTGATTTTGTATGTTTAATATGCTATTGTTCACAATTTGTATTTCAAATCTAATGTTAAAAGAATGCAAATTGAGAAGTTCAAATAAAATCAACTCAAGATTACTGATTTATACAAAAAAAAAAATTTAAAAAAAAATAAAAAAGAACGTTTTTATTATAAAAACTAAAGAAAAACTTTCTTAATGGAAAAACTTATGATGATTTTTTATATTTTTTTTTTTTTTTGTAATTTTAATCCGAAATTAAAATTTAATTTATATTAGCAATGTGTAAAGAACAGATTATATTCTATGGAAAAAATAAAAAGAAAGAACCAAACAATTTTCAAATTATTAATCCATCAAAATTATTTTAAAAGTCATCATGGCGTTATCAGTTATTAGGATTTCTTTTTTTTTAAGCAAGAATGTGATTAATTTAATGAATATAGCATTTATCTATTTAATGCATTTTATATTGAATGCGTCATATATGTATGATTTAAATTATTAATTTAATTTAAATTTTAAAAATTTTTTAGAATTTCTTCAAAAACGTTATAATAACTGAGTACTGATACTCTTACTATCATTAAAATAATGCCGCAATTATCTACCAACCGTTTTCCTTCATTTTCCTTTTTCTTTTTCTTTTTTTTATCATCATATAAATACTGGTTGACCTTCGAATCAAAAATTTTGTAATTTAAATTTTCTTCATCTCTTCACATTGCCCACTTCAATTGTGACAATTAATTTTCATCCATTTCTTCATTTAACCATTCTCATTCTACTTCAACAATCATTTTTTTCATTCCTTTTCAATAGAAAATGTTCATAAAATCTTACATAAACTAATTAACAAATTAAAAGTAAAATTAAAAAACAAAAAGTACATTTAAATAATCAATAAGTGATTTATTATTTAAAAAAAAAAAGTGGAGAGCTAAATAAAAATTAAAAAGAAACTATTCATTGACCAATTGACTACAACACATTATATTAATAGAGTTAAAAAAAAAGTTAAGAAAAAATTTTTAATTCAGCTCAAATATACAATACATTAAATAAAATATACATTTAAAGTATACATTAAAATTAAGAAATAAAAATATATATTAACAAAATTGAATAAATTTTTCTTTCTTACTGCTTAAGTTGTCAAGTCAAGTTATATTTTTTTTTTTTTTGTTACATTTGTTCCGTCAAAAAAGGTTTGTATCGAAAAAAAAAGGAAATAAAAAGTAGCAATAGGAAATAGAAAATTTGTGCATCGTTATATTTTATTTAAAATGTGAAAAGAAAAATATGTAATAAGAATGGATGAAAATTTGAAAATAAATAATACTTAGAGAAGAAATGATAAATCTATAAGAGTTATAATTTCATTTCCGGAATCTCAAAAGATATTTCAAAGATTTTGAGATTATCAAAGAGTCCTAGAAAAAAAAAAAATTGTCAAAAATTTCATATAAAAAAAAGCGAAATGTAGAAGAAATATTTTTCATTTAACATTAAAGAATGAATAAAAAATATAACATAAAAAACTAATATCTTTTATACTTTTTTTTTGTTTACCAAAAATTTTTAATTTATTTTTCGTTATTTTCCTACATTTGTCACATTTGGTTAGCAATTATTAGTGATAATAATTAATGCTTTATTGAAATTTTTGCAAAGTTTTTCAAAAACCGGAAATTTTTGCTCATTGTTTGTAATAAAATATAATAAAACAAAAACTTACTTTACAACAGCAAATGATAAGAATAAAACATTCGGTGATAAATATTGGTGATAAATTGATATGAAAAATTTTATATAAGCACTATAAATATAACAGATAATGTATTAACAAATAGTATTGAAATAATTTTCACAAAGAAAGTGCCGACGAATAGACGAGAGATTGTTTATTAAACTAATTAAGAGATAATTAATATTAAGCTACCCAATTTTCCACCGCTAATTCTTCCTTATGTCTCTTTCATATCTTTTTAATCATAATAATAATAATTAATAGTATTTTATATAAGCATTTATATATAAATATAATAATACCAGGAATAATAATAACAATACTTGAATAAATCATGATTTATTTAAAAAATTTTTTTTATTTTTATTCGTAAAATTAGTTTTTTTGTTATCATTGTTTTTTCTTTGGAAAAAAAAGAAAATCATTTGATTCAAATTATATAGAAACGACTTTCTTTGTATAAGGTTTAATACTTCAAAAAATTTTATTTTTATTTTTTAGTTTGGATATATTAGCATTATATTTTATCTTTTTTCTTTTTATTCTATTTTTGAGAAGCAAATTTTTTTGTTTTGTAAATGAGAAAAATTGTTCAAATGAAAACATATAAAAATTTTCTAAATCTTTATGAAGTGAATGAAATATAGGATAATTAATTTGTAATTAAATTTCCTTAAATAAATGAAATTATTGTTAACATGTTTAATTGAAATAAAAGCAAGAAAATACAAACTGTTTGGTGATACAAAATTATTATCATTTCATTTATTTCAGTTTCAGTTATTTCAATTATTTCATTTCATTTATGAAAAATTTTTTTCAATTTTCTTTCATTTTTTTTTCAAGATTAAAAATCATAAGTGTAATTTATTAAAATTTAAAGTAAATAGAATTTAATTTTTGATATTCGACCACTTGCTATGGTTTAAAGGCAAATAATTCATTCATTTATTTGAAATTAATTAGCAATGATTTTAAACTTTTTAACTAGTTGATTAATTAGTAAACAATAAATTTTGATCAGTAAAAAATTAAGATATGATAAAAAAATTAAGAAGAAAAATAAGATGATTTCATGATATATTCTTTTTATTGCAATACAAGTGTAAGAGATTGATATGAATTAGAAAAACACAGCTAATTTCAGCTAGAAAAATGCTTTTTTTCTTTTTCAAATGAAAAAAAAAATTCCTTTTTTTTTCTAAAAAATTTTCTTTAAAATGTTTTATAAAAAAATACGAAGGAATTTATCGTTTTTCTCTTCCTTTTTTTTTTGAGAAAGGTATTTTTACAATAATTTCATTGTTATGTCAAACAATATTTATTCTGATTTCATTATTTATAAGAAATGAAAGATGAAAATTTTAAAAGAATTTGTCATGAGCAGTTAAAAATTACTGAAAAATGAAAAAGGTGAAAAAAAATGTAAGTTGATGTTCTGAAGTATTGAAGAGAAAAAAAGCTTTCTTCTATTTTTTTGATATTATCCAAAAGTTGGAAAACAAGAAGAAAAAAATATTACTTTACTAATTACCATTCTAACTATTTCAGCATATTTCATTATATATGCAGCATTTAAATTTTAATCAGAAGTTTAAATTTGTAAATTTGATTTATAAAAAATTAAAGCATTATCATTTGCTTACAAATGATAATTAGGATGGCAAAATATTTGAGCAACTTTAGTCATTAATTTTAGCAAATTTTTTATAAAAAAACAAGTTGGCTATAAAATATATGTTTAATTAAATTGATTTGCTTACTATTTCATACGTTCCGCCAATTACTCACTCATTATTAGCTAATATAAAATAATAAATTTCACATTATAGTATGTCATAACTTGAAATTATATCATATTCGCATTATTATTCATAATAATTGCAATCGTAATTATTAATTTAACGATTTATTCTATTGCAATTATAATTGTTATTCTTACCAATAAATATATGTCATAAAGAAAGTGTGAAAAAAGATTAAAAAAGAAAAGAGGAAAAAGAAAGAATACGAATTTGCAAGTGAAGAAGAAAAGAAGCTAGAAAAAAGAAGAAATTTAAAAATTTCAAATAGCAAATAAAAAAAATTTCTCTTTTTTATGTTAATTTTCAATAAATATTTTTTAAATAATTTTGAGTAAGCATTTTGCATATATTTAATATACTGACACTTTTATTTTTTGTTTAAGTGAAAAATCAAAATTTCCATTGATTTCCGAAAGTAAAAAAGAAAATAATAAAATTGTAAAGGAAATTTTGTAATTCCCATTATTTAATTTATAATAAAATACAATATTTTATGGTAAAGATTAAAATTCTTTTATCAATAATTTTATTTAAATGTCAATAAAATATTTTATGGCTAATTTAATTACTGGAGAAATACTTTAATGGATTAAATGATTAATGTACGTAAAAAAAAAAAAAAAAAAAAAACTTATAATTATTGCTTTAAAAAAAATTAGATAATTTTTTCTTCATTTCAGAATAGCAAAATAAATGAGAAAAGCATTTTTCCTTGCTTTTTGCTTAAAAAAGAAATAAAATAAAATTCATTTAAAGGAAACGTTCGTTCATTTAAATCTAATTTTTTAAAGGAAATATTATACTTGTATATATTAAATAATTATTTTTACAATTTTCATAAATCTTTGACATTTTCACTTCCAATGCATATTTTTAGAAAGAATTAAAGGTTTTTATTATATAAATAATTATTTAATGAGTTGCTTTTTTTTGTTTCTTTAAGTTGCATTTTTTATTTCTAGTTAAATAAAAATCATATAAAACAAAATATTACTGTAGAATTTAATTAAAGTAATTTTAACTTTAAAGCTTAACCTTTTATGCCGGCATTACACGTATTACATGCTAACTGACAATTTCCGGTCATCCAGTCCGGATTTGCCGTACATTCACCAATTGATGCCCAAAAACGACACCATTGATGTTCATCACAGCAACCATTAGGTAAGCATTTAAATTTGCTAGTTTGTGGTGATGATAATTGTGGTACAACTTCTGCAATTAAATTAATTTAAAAGTTTAGATGAAAAAGAAAAACAAAAGATCAAATGATTTCTTTGTTCTTACAATTGATTACAATTTTAATACTAATTGAATTATTTATCAATTAATAATTGCTATTTTTAAAATGCTATTCATCCTTTTAAAGCATATATAATATATAATTTGTAAAAAAAATAAATAATATCCATAGAAATTAGTTAACATAAAATGATATATTATTTTGATTAAAATTTTTACAATTAATATTACTTGAGCAAAAACTTTATAAATAAATTTGTCTAAATGATTTAAAATTGTCAACAAATTGACATCGTAACTAATCGTAGAATTATTTCATCTGAAACCTAATTGGAAATAAAAACGGAGCACCAAATTTGTGTTCAATTAAATATGATTGATCATTTAGTATTATACAATGTCAAGGGTTAAATAATCGTTTAAATTCGCTCATTTTAATTCTTTTCTCTCTCATTGTCTCACAAAATATCCTTTAACTGAATTTGAACTGAAATGCGCCGATTCATCCGAATCACTTCGATAAATGTTTCAAATTTTATTTACAAAAAAGGCTTTTTGCATAAAAAACATTAGTTATTACGTTATTAATATGAAATGGAATTATGCAATGTTTGAAGACAAATTTAAAATTTTTTAAATCTGAATTTTTTTCAAGGGATTTGTTCAAGGGAATAATTTCCAGGACTAAATGAATGAACAAATAAAGCATTTAAAAATTTTAGTGAATTAAAATCAAAAATCTTTAAATTAAAAAAGAAATTAATTATTTTTAAATTTTTATTAGCTGATTCCTAGATTCTATATATTTTGTTTATATATGTATTTGTTTGAATTTATTTGTGTCATTTTTTGCTTCAATAAATTTGAATTAAAGACAAGTTTTAAATTGATCTCAAGATGGTCTCATAATGCTCCGAACATCATTTTAAAATATAATTTTTGGTTTTAAAAATCAATTTATGTGCTTGGCAAAGCTTTTAGTACTTCTCAATTAATATTGTAATAATGAAAAGCGCCAATAACAAATCAATTTTTGATTATATCAAAAATTGAAATTTCAAAGAAACAAGAAAATATTTTATATTTTATGGAAAGAGGGAAAAATAAGTCATCAATAGTATGTAATAAGAGGTAAATAAATAATGGGCAAATTTAATTATAAATTCCAAATTTTCAATATCAATTAATTTTGTTTCCAATATGAATGTACTGTAATTCAAAAAACATTCATGCACCACATGCACACAAATTAGTCATTAATTAATTTATTTTTTATTGTTCCTTTTTTTCACTTTCACTTTTTAAACAATAAATAATTGAATAAAATACAGAAAATTTATAAAACATTTTGGAGCAAAAATTTTTTCAACCATTAAATCGAGAAAAAAGGAAAAAAAAATGAAACAATAGTGAAATTAAACGGTTTTAATCAAGCTATTATTTATAAATTGTTATTACTTTTTATTAGATCATAGATTTTAATAAAAAAATTTATGAGGCAGAAAATAAAATAAAATAAAAGTTAAAAAAGGAATTTATTTAAAAAAGAAAAGAAAAAACAAACCAGTAAAGAATAGTAAAATAAATTGTAGTTGTTGTATGCAAATTGTTTTGATCATTTTTCCTTTCCAAAATGATTAATAGATTACCCTTTTATTTCTGAGCAAAAAAATGAAGAAATGACAAAAAAAAAACATTAAATCGCAATAAAACGTATTATACCGATTATAGCGCTATAACAACATGATTACGTTACGTAATGTTATGTTACGTTGAACCACACGTATCTTCCAAATTTATCTCCAAAATTTAGAATGCGTGATATTTTATAATAATAATAATAATATTAGTAGTAGTAGTAATAATAATAGCAAAAAAATAAATAAATAAACTAATAAATTAATGAATAAATAATCGAGAAAAATATTTCTCGTCACAGTTGTAGCATAAGGCTATTTCCACAATCTTTTGGAACAAATTTTCTTCGTTGGCTGAAAAATATTTTAGCGAATAAACCGGTCTTTTTAAAATAACGAAAAAGGCGTTACATGAAGTTTTCGATAGAAGAAAAAAAATGATAAGAAAAAGAGAAAACTTTAATCACAATTTCATGAGTAATTAATTTAAGAACTACCCGAAATTATGCAGCACTTTTTAAAATTTAAATTTAAAATGAATGTATTTCCTTTCTTTAATATATATATCATTGTTTTTCTTTTTTTATGTTATGGAATGATAAAAGGAATACAAAAGAAAAGATTAAATTGCTCAATAAAATTCATTTTTTTTTCCAAGAAAAAAAAATTCATTTAATTTAATACTTCGGTTAGAAATTTAATTATTACAAAAGAATTAGCATAAGTTAAAATTTTTAGAAAAATGATTTTAAAGCAATAAAAAAGGGCATGAAAGAACAAATAAAATCTTGATTAATATTAATTGCTAATAAAAAATTTAAATCCTTTAATTAATAATTCCTTTTTTTTGCACTGAAAAAAATTGGAAAATTAGATTTAATTAAGACAATCCCGAAAAAATATTAGATAAGAATTATGAATAATTGATCAAATAATTATGCAAATTAATTAATTGTAAGTAATTTAGAAATAAGTTACAAATATCACTAGTAATAATAAAAAGTAATAAATAAATAACATTAATAATAAGTAAAAATAATAATATTAATGATAATAAAAAATAATAATAAATAAATAACAATAATAATAATATTAAATAAAATCAGCTTGTTGCTTTGATGACAGCCGAATAATAAAGAGGCGGCAGCATTCTTTCACTTTGCTAAAATATCACAATTCTTTATTTAGAGAAGATGACAGTGGGAGGGAAAGAAGAAAAAGTGAAGGAGGAGGAAGAGGATACGGGGACAGGGAGAGCTGAAAGATTGGGGCGGTCTGGTTTTAGTCTTTTTCCGCCCCGCTTCATCATTTCCACTCTTTTCTCTTCCTCTATCATCATTCTTGTCCCATACCGTTCGTTCATTCAATCCGGCTACTCATCCGTTCCGTCCATTAATCCGGCTCTTCATTCCTTTCCATTCGTTCTATCCGCTCATCAATTAACAATTGTTTTATGTTTATAATTGTGTATGAAGAGAATAATTAATATTTTAAAATCCAGATTTAAGGTATTTAAATATAAAATACTAAAATGCTTCATATACATGAATATATGATGTATCAAAAAAGAATTTGAATAAATATTTAAATAAATATATTATTATTATTATTAATACTAAACATCACTTCCATTATTTGTTTCTTTTAAAGAGATTTATCTAATTATGCTAAGCATTTGGTAAAAAAAAAAAAAATAAAAAGGATAAAATTAGTTTCTTTTTTTTTTTTTGCTAATTATAATCATTAAAAAAAAAAGAGAAAGAAAATAAAAAATAAATGAAATGGATGTGTTTTATGTTTATTTTCTTTTATTTTTTATTTGTTTATTAATATTTTCTTATATTTAAGTTAAGTTATCTCCAATTACCAATTCCTTTTTTTTTGCTTTTGTAACAATTTTTTTTTGTCTCTTTCAGTGTTATTCGTTTGTTTGCTTTGCTTTCTTTTGACATTAATTTCCTGAAATTATCTAATTATCTTTATTATTAATATAACCAAATTAATACTTCGATTTGTAAATTACTATTATCTTTTAAACTAATGAAAATGATGTAATGTCGAAGAAAAGGGCAAAATAAAAATTATTAAAAGTATATTTATTTCTTGATCACAAAATCTCAAATGCAACCACAATATAACAACAGCAATAACAACAACAATAAGTTTTTTTGTCGGAAGGAAATAAGTTCTCAATTAATTACTCAGATAAAAGATATTGATCTTAAAAAGAAAATCAAAAAAAGTCAACAAAATCAATAGAATTATTTGTTTTTTTAGCACTGAAAACTTTTAAAAATGTTGAATAATGATAGAACATTGAATTTATCATAGTATTTCAAACGTTACTTGAGCATTACAATTTAAAAAATTTTCATAAAATTGATTTAGAATTGAAAAATGAAGCATTTGAATTGTTGTTTCATTAGTGTATAATTTGGTTAGTCAGTGCAAAAATATATGCATAATAAATGTATATTGGGCACAAAAAAAAAAACTTTTTAAACTGAAATAATTTCAATTTTTTAGAAATTATTTATTAATTACAAATTTAATGGTTCATTATATGGATAATAATTGTTTGACGGTGATTGTTGGTGATAAGCATTTATTTAAATCACTTAGTATAAATTTTATAAACAATGTTTAATAAAAAAAACAACTTTATTTTTTGTAACTTAACACTCTGTAATACAGTTTAATAAGTTAAGCTTTTTTTTGATATAATACAAGGCAATTTTGTTTTGAAATTAGTAATAGTTTGATGGAAGACATTTTGAAGTGTTATAAAAATAATCTCATTTAGATAGTTTTATTTTCAACAATTGGTTAATCGTTGCAATTCGCTGAGTAATTGTTATGGTCATTGTTGATTTATTATTTTGCTCATGCTGCTATTGTCATCATTATTATTTATGTCGTTCATATTGATGTCTTTGTTGTTATTATAGTTATTATTGGTAGTATTGCTCTTACTAATGTAATTATCGTTTGTTGTTGTTACATTGCTGTTGTTGTTTGTCATTGTCTTGTTGTTGTTGTTGTTATTGTTTGTTATTTCCGCTGTTAATAATGTTATTGTTGTTGTTGTCGTGTTTTTTACATGTATATAATATTTTTCCCAGCATATTTTTTAATACATTCTTGATGATTTTCAATAGGATATTTGTCAATAATTAGTTTTAGTAACAATAAGAATAATAATTGTTATTATTATGCGTCCTACAAAATAGCAATATTATATGCTTAAATTATTTTTTTTTTTTTTTTTGAAGTTATTAATAACGGGTTGAAAAAAAAAAAACATCCACTGATTTTATTTCTACACCTTAATTTATTTTAAAACAATTGATAATGTGCTTAGAAAGTTAGAAGAATTAATACCGGATTATTCAGTTAAGTGTTTTTTCCTAACTGGAATACTACTCTCAACAAAATTATTTAATCTTGATCTATGCATATGCGCATGTACATACCAAAATAATTCAAATAACTAAATAAAAATAGTTTTCTTAAATAATTTATTCATTAATGAAAGAAAAAAAGTTTCTTCAAATTTTTCAATCATCAATTTTTTTTCTTAAACAAATAGAAATGACAATTTCGAATAATAAAATCATAGTTTCAAGATTATTTCAGTTTAACTGCTATACTGCAAAATGACAAACAGCAATATTTCATTAATAATAATGAAAAAAACAAATAAAAAAGAAAGTAAAAACATGAAAATGTATTGCATAAGATTTCATAAATACCACTCAGTTTAAATTTCAAGCGGTAAAAAGTGAAAAAAATAATTAAATGCAAAAAAATAAAGAAAAAACAAACTAATGAAAAATATACGAATCAAAAATGAAAACAAATAAATATTCAATGGGAAGAAAAAAACGAGCAAAAATGATTACATATATGAACAAATGAACGAAATTTGAGATTGGAATTAAATTTAAATCGAAATAAGGATATTAAATTATTCAACATTTTCAACAATACAAAGATTTTATTTGAAATAATAGCTATTGCCATGAAAAATTAGAAATAGGTAGTAATAAGGAAATAAAGTTCGTTTTTTCAGGGAAAAAACGATTGAAAAATCTTTTAAATTTATGAAATAATTTCACTGTTACAATATCATTTTAATTGAAACGATTAACTTTCTTTAAAAACTTCTAAACCATTTATCATTCGTACATTTTTGAATGCATTTCATTCTTTTTTACATTCGTTTTCAAACTCTCATTTATATTTATTTCATTTCAATTTTATTTCATCGCAACCAATCAACGTTCATTTTTTAATCTAAAAAAAGATTTATTTCAATAATTTTCATAAATAATTTGAATTATAAAAATAAAAAAAATGCAGAATTTATTGTAAATAAAAGAATGATAGATAAACTTCCAAAAATTTAAAACAAAACAAATAGAGTAAAGCTTATTCAAGGAACGTAAATGTAAATTTTGGTATAAAAAATATAATTATTTAAACTTTAGGCGGTAATTGATTATATCGATATTTCGATTTCATTTCGTTCCAGACAACTAATATCTAATTTGTTGAAAACCTTCCCTTTTTGAAATCATGCAACTATTGTTTTTTCTTTTTTTTGTAATTTTGATTAAATTAAAATGTAACTCTAGCATATTTAATATTATCTTTTTTTATTTATCGCTAAATATTCATAATAACATATTAAAAACATAAAAAATTTAAGACAGAATTTTTTCAATTTTATTCTGCTAATTTTAACATTCAATAACCTTTCATCAAATATTATGAAAAAGGTTTTTTCTATAACTTTGTCATATAGAAACAAGCAGAAGTTGCAAATTTCATTTTAAATTTTGACTTATCATCTATTATGAAAGAAACGAATTCCATAACAATATTCTAACAATAGAACATCTAAATTTTCTCACATTTGGGAGTACACTTATTATTATTATTATTAGATTATAATTATTATTTAATTACAATACGTTCGC